GGTCTGGTACTGTAGTTTTGTTGAACTTTCCTGGACTTGATGCGGTGGCTCTATATACACACCCCTAGGTTACACTGGATATCTGCTTCATCCCGCACATTCTCCTCCTCCTCCTCCTCCTCCTCCTCCTCCTAGCCTGTACCTCATCATCAGTGATCTTTCTGACAACTGGGGAATACCGTTGCCATTGATCGACTCGCTAACGCTACGTCTTCCTTACGTATCGACTTATCGTCCAAATCTTCCTTTGCAGGGGACACTTCCAAGATCCATACGTAGGAAAGATAAGTCGCGCTAGCGGCATATCTCTATCCGACGGCCTTTCCATATCCGTCCTCTAATCCCCCTCGAACCTGTAAGTATTAAAGTTCACCCTCCCATTGACAGGAAGCAACCCCGCAAGGTCTTCGTCTTCTAGAACCGCCGCGTGGTGAAATAACGTGCGCCCCATGGAGCCTCGGGAATTGGAACCGATTCTATCGTCGACCTCGACTCTCAGATAGCCCGGGGGGGTGCACACGATAGGTGCGGACCCGGTTTCTGCGGTTGCGTGTAGTGCTGAATCGTTGGTTGGTGATGGGCTCCGTGCACACCTATTCTCCCGCATTGAAGCTGTACGTGAACGATTTCCTTGCGGCAAGGCTCAACCGATTCGGGGAGTTCCTCCTACTGGCCTTGGTTGTATGTGGTCATCTCTCTCTCTGGGGTTCTAGGATATGAACTGGCGCAGATGCATCTAGTACTGGATGGCTTGTCCGTGATAAGCTATTTGCAAGAAGTTGAAGCCCCCCGTTGTCCGCTGGGCCAGGAATCATCTTCAAGGTGTTCGTCAGAAACCGATTTTCCGCCACGGGGTCTCTTTCGACGGCAGGGTGAGGGGAGTTCTGTGGTAGGCCTCTGCGGGGTTTACCTCCATGGGGGGGGCAACGGCCGCATGATATACTTGTGCCCGTGTTCTGCAGATGGATGGAGGATCATTTGCGGGGGTGGTCTCTGGCACCGATATCCATCTTCACTTCCAATGGCAATCGAACGATTTCGACGAGGCCATTTTCTCCTGCAAGGAAGAGTGGAGCTTGGTCACCGAGGTCTCGTGTCTTGTTGGATGCCGAAATTTATCGGCGTGCCGATGGAATCCACAAACTGGGTGGCTTGTGTGTTGTTGGGTAGCTTACCCACTTTCGATAGGTTAACAATTCCACTTCCACGGTCTGCCGCATGGTATGGAGCTCATGTGTTATGCTTGCTGGAACGGGTGCTGGACGGTCTATGGGTGTTGTTGGGGGAAGGGTTGCGGAACTGCGACTCGTTCCGAGAAGAGGCACTCAGGTCTACCGATAGCTTTGTAGCTGCCACAGGGCGGGCTCGGGAGGTGGGTGGGGGAGTTGCATCATGGGAAGTTTTATTCTGATATGTGGTATCCATGGGGCTTAGGATAACGTAGACAAGAGGATGATCTTTACCAGGACTTGAATCGCTTTGACCAAGGAGCGAGAGGTAAAGCGTATGGTAGCCAGATAGCAGCCGAACTGTTAATGATTCTATGATAGTGGAAATGGGAAACGATTATCATACTGGATCTGCGAGTTGAGGTTAACTTAATGGAGGAAGAGCAATGTTAAAATTCCATCTGACCAGAAAACTGGTAAATTTTTTTCATTTTTGTGGCGTGCTAAACAGGTTCTTGGACTTTGGCTCTTATATCATGCTGTAGGTGATTCTGTGTGGAGGACCTGTATATTACAGTGTAAATTCCAAAAAAAAAAGTCGTCGGATGGGTGTCTATGGGGGAATGTACTGAATGCGAAAATTGCTGGTTTCAGGTATTCATACATAACCCGGGTCTGTAGGAATTCGCCAGAGATTTGGTACGTTTTTCGCAATGAATGAATATTTTTATTTACAAGGTTTTGCGATAATTGAAGAATAGGTTGTGCTCTGAAGGTGCGCGGGTGACGATGAGCTGTGATGTCGCGCCGTGGCTAAGCCTTTTAACGGGACTTTGGGAAAGCCGCCCCACGAAGATTATATTTGCACGGTTGCCGATTACCGAAGCCTGAACGGCGAACACCATATGGTGATAGTGAGTCTAGGAATTGCGCAATCGCTGTGTGCCCCCTCTCGATGGCGAGATGTAGTGGTGTGCGATGCTGTGAGTCGGTCGGGCTGATGTTTACTCTGCTGTCGTTGACGAGAATTCCCACAATCTCCTGCCTACCCCTAGCTGCGGCGAGATGTAGGGGCGTGCAAGGGTGATTCCTGGCCATCGGGTTTCGTGAGGTGCGGGGGCCAGTTGTTAAATTGGGATCGATTCCTTCGCTCGCCAGAAGCACCCTTACGACCTCCGCCCGAGATCCATACACAGCCTCATGCAGCGCAGTTGTGTCGTACTGGCGTGCCCGCGAATTGACGTCAACTCTCGGGTCACTCAGTAGAACCCGTACCACCTCCACATGCCCCGCAAAAGCTGCTGCATGAAGTGGTTTCAGACCGCCCGGGCAGCAGAGTTCGACGTCTGCCACAGGATCCTCCAACAGAGCACGAACTGTAGCCACTTTGCCTGAAGCTGCCGCGAGGCGTAGTGGTGTTTGGTCGCGGACATCAAGGGCGTTCTGGTCGATGCCAACGAGCATCAGTGTGCGAACGGCGGCCACTTCGTGCTCGCTTACCGCTTCGCACAGCAGACCTATGGATCTGTGTTTGGGGTCGAATTCACCGTTGATGACTTGATCGATTCCTCTGTCCAACAGCGCCTTGACCCCCGCTACGTCTCCACGCTCTGCAAGGGAGTATAGCATTCTTCTGCCGTATTTCTGAGATCGAGTACGGAATACAACATCGATGAGAACGGAGGATAGGAAGGCAGCGAAGTAGCGGTTTGTTCGGAGTAATGAATTTAGGTCAGATACGTGCTCTAGCTCCCTGGCGATTAGGAGGACGATCTCGTTCGGTAGATGGAGGAATGACATTCTGGGAGGAGCCTGTGAATTTCGTTCTCCCGGGAGGGATTGGTGACATGGGAGTTTCTGGTCGGGTGTGGTGTCATGGGCTGCGTTTGTTTATACCTTCGAGGTTCAACAAAGGGCTGAAAGCCAAGCCTTCCAAATGCCCCGCCAGGATTAGTTAGGCCTAGGCGGGGTAACAGATGCTATGATACAACACCAGTACCGCACATCGCCACAAAATGCAATATCATGTTCCCCAAAGCGTTCTAGATGTCTGGGGAAGAACTGTCGAGACTTGTGAAGTTCACGCTCTACGGGCTCACTAGCGAAATATTAGAATAGTAATATTGCTCCACTATGCAAGAGCTTTAAATGAGCATCCCTCTGCACGTCTACACAAATCCTCTGGGTTAGCCTGAAGCACAGAGTACGGGGTCCGGGAAGCATATATGGTGCTGTACCGGTAGGCTGTTTGTGGCTGTTCCGGCTATGTTGGTGCGGCGGGGAATGTCTGCGCAATCATGCCGTTACATTAAGTTGTCGGTAGGCCCGGTTTTCTTGGACCTCCATCACTCCCACAGCTTGTTGATCCGTCTCCTATCATACCTGATGTGGAAGAGATGGCTTTTTGGTATTCAAACTCCTGCTGTTGAAATTTCTTGTCGAGTGATAACGCATGAAGGTGGTGCAGACGTTATCGCATTTCTCAACACACCAGGGATACTCATTTGCGTGTTTCCCAAAAATCCATATATCCCCTTTGAGTTATTGAAAACTAGTAGGCTTTCTAATAGATCCCGCTGCCTAAGCTTCCCCTTTGGTGTAGACCTGGGGTATGGGGTATCTGGTTGGGGTTATCATCTTTTCAAAACTATCATATCAACGGCTCAACTCTTGAACCCTCATACCATATTTTCGACTACCCTATAGACATAACCCCATCTCAATTTCGGGGTCTGTTGGCAGAGGATTCCACTATAAAAGGTCTCCTTGGAGCTTTTCTCCTCCATCCCTCGTTCTCTTTCCCACATCCACAACCACAACACTCCACATCCACCACCGCTTCTGCAACCAAACACAGCTTGCGTCCGGCCCCCAGGTCGCTCTCCCCTTCCTTCTTCTAACATCAGATTACCACCGAATAAATACTCTTAACAAGGTATGTACGTAAATAGTTGCTTCTAGATCGTCCGGGGTCATCGTGTGCGTTAGAGCTGTCCTTGCTTAGACTTCTGCTAACGACATGCGAGCCTATATATCTTCTCTAGGGACCTCTCAAGTGTTGTTTTTCAGCTACCCAAGCTCTCTCTTGGTATGGAGATGTTCATAAGGTATGTACGTAAATAGCTGCTTTTGGACCGTCCGGGGTCCCCGTGTGCGTTAGAGTTGTCCTTGCTTAGACTTCTGCTAACGACATGCGGACCTATATATCTTCTCTAAGAACTTCTTGAGTGTTGTTGTTCAGCTACCCAAGCTCTCTCCTAACATGGAGACATTTACAGATAAGGTATGTACGTAAATAGTTGCTTCTGGACCGCCCGGGGTCCCCGTGTGCGTTAGAGTTGTCCTTGCTTAGACTTCTGCTAACGAAATACGGGCCTATATCTTCTCTAGGAACCTCTCGAGTGTTGTTTCTCAGTTATCCAAACTCTCTCCTAGTATGGGGGCATTTACAGATAAGGTATGTACGTAAATAGTCGCTCTTGGACCGTCCGGGGTCCCCGTGTGCGTTAGAGCTGTCCTTGCTTAGACTTCGGCTAACGTCATGCGGACCAATGCTCTTCAGATTTAGCAAAAAAAAAAAAAGAGAGAAAGCCACCTTTAACTCCCTAACCTTATCTCAACAATCGAGTGATACCTCATGCGGATTTCTACGTTTAAAAGGAAGCTGTCGATCAGCGATTGGTCTAGGGGGTGAATGCACTAGATGTGTGGGCCGAATAGCCTAAATATGGTAATTTATCCAGCTCGTCCACTATCAAAATGTTCTTTTCTTTTTCTTTTTCTTTTTTGGATAATAGTATCATACCTAGAGAAGGACCGGTTTTTTAGCAGTCATTGTGTGCCACAGTCCTCAGGCAGCTGAGGTTGCTCGGAACCTGGATGCCCCTGTGAGCAGCCCTGGCCATCACAACCGGTAATGGAGCAGAAACGGTACCGTACAGTACGGTACTGGTGATATTCAACCCAAACGTTGCACAGAGCAGATCCACGCGGGAACACAACAGGACTCAGTACCGCTGCCGGGAACCGGAAATCTCGAGGTCGCTCCAAGCCCTGCTGGGGCATTCCAAATATTGCGTATCCGTGTACATGGTGCATCGCTGCGCTAGCACCCGCTCCATCCTCGTCTCCCCGCGCCCGGTCGGTCGGTCTCCCGCTCCAATGGGCTTCCGCTAAACACTCCTGGGTGGATACCGTCGGGCTACTCCTGGATATCCACATCCCGGCGCTGCACACGGCGGGTAGGGATGGGATTGTCCGGATGCCACCTGTAATAAGATGACAGCCGAGAACTAGAATTCCATGACAGGAACGCACGAGATTGTGAACACACACTATTGACCCTCCGAACACGAATGGTGAATTCAACCCCCAAACCGCCCAACCCCCGGACCACCATACCAATGACCATCCTTGAAAGTAGTCAGTGGCCCTATGGTACTCGGCTCACACTGGGTATGATACAGTACCCCCCGAACGTAGTTACAACATACTGGGGTGGCATCCACGACAGCGCCCGTGCTCGTCCACTCGCGCGACTCCATAACAGGTTCATGCGTATTCGGTTCAGATCTACTCGACGTGGATCGTTCGACACCCCGCGTTCAAAAGCTATGGTGTACCGTATACTGAGGGCCCAAAATATCCGGCTACTGTTCCCGTGAATCGAGCCCGAACCGACATCCCCAACCTTGTGGCCCCAAAAAGCTTACCCCGTAAGTCTGAGAGGTATTTTGGAGATCGGGGGGGGGGTGCTTAGTAGCATTATTCGCCAAGACTCGCAACAAGCCTAGATGTCGTCCGCTTAGCCCCGGTATTATATTATAGCAGTATGCCTCAGGGGACAAGGAAATAAAAATAATAAAAACTCCAACCAAGCCAACCCCCCCCCCCCCCCAAAGCTTCACCATGTCGCCATCTTACAGGAACAGACCGTGGGGAGCATGCTTTGCTCTTCGTTTGGTCCAGAGAAGAGCAAGAGACTTCCTCGGTGCCATCCGGGAACCCGAATCCATGAGCTCTTCGATCTGCGGTCTGTGCCCGGGAACTTGTGAAGTATCGTAGCTCCAGCACTCCAGTGCCAGACACAGCCGCCCCGCGGTGCCCCGATGTTGCCATAGCTGTAGCATAGTAATGTATAATACTTGTATGAAAGGGCAAAAACACACAAAACCACTACGTCTCAGCAGCGATACAAGTAGTACACGTTCCGAAGCCCCAGAGCCGGATAATTTAGCGGGGAGTCCTTTCAATGGAACCCGGTGTGGGGGTTAGGGGAACTGGAGGCTGAATAGATCAGGCGGCGGACTTCGGTATAAGCGCGGTGAAACCAGCCCTTTAAAAGGGATGACGAGTGATGTACCATGATTAAACGTCCAATCGGAACTTCTCCGCGCCGGAAACTTCCCGACAACACCTCAAAAGCCTCACTCTACACAAAAAGAAAATACATAATATTATTTCACCTGGAGTAACAGTCTCGGGTAATACCCGGAACAAGACCTCATAAGGTTTATTAATATTATACAATAGCACTACAGAACAGCGCCTAATCATCGATGCCATACCACTCCTCCCCTTCATCACCCATCTCTTCATCGTCGCCGCAATCCTCCTCCTCTACTTCTTTTCGCCGGGACTTGATGGCGCCTATAGCCTTATCGTATCCCCAATCCGCCAATCGCCCATCACATAACAGTTCCTTGGACTTGGTGCGTACAAGTTTAGTCGGCGAAGCAAGCGTCAGCTCCTCAAATGGGGATAGCAATGTAGCAATTGGAAAGGGAATCTTCATCTCTTCCGGCTTCAGTTTCTCCAGCTCGTCCACGTATATGTCTATCAAGTGGTAGCGCAGTCCATTGGGAACTTTCATGTCTTTAGGGCTATCGTCATCGCCATATCGTCAGCGGGAATGGCCTAGCAGAGTGGGCGAAGGGGAAAAAAACTAAAAGTAAGAATGAAAACAAACCTAAGTGGAGTCTCCCTAAGCAGATTCGTGAACCGTCCCACGAGATCTTTCTCCCACCCTCTTGCATGTAGATATCTAAAGCTCGAGGCAAGATAGCCCCTCACCAGGAGGAGGAACTTATCCATACGAAGAACATCCACGCCATTCCATTCCCTGGCAATGGTATTCCAGAAAGCTTCCAGGAATAGACCCGCATTCTTGGTTTCCATGGAGTCCAGTAATCCCGCCAGGTCTAGCACAAGGCGTTGCTGGGTCCTCGGTCTATCTGACAACCACATGCCTGTGCTCATGACCACGATGGTAAGTATGCGGGTCAATTTTAAAAAATACCTATCATATAATTACTAACGGGGAAGGGGCTCCTCATGTTTAAAGAAAGAAGGAGAGGCAGTGACCGACAGTAGAATAGCCCTTTCCAAAGCTTTAGGAACTCAATCTTGGTGAAGCTTCGACGGGAGGATAGGTATGTCCGTAATGATGCGACTGCTCGATCACGGGTGGGTCGATCTGTTCGATATCATACTTTCTCCATCAGTAATTTTGCAAACAACCTGACCAATTGGACATGTAACGCAAGGAATGGAAGAGGAGGGGGGGGGGTATAGGGATTACCATTCGCAGCGAGCTGCTTTACGAACAGTGTTTTCTGAAGCTTTGTTTCGGTCATGATGTGATGTTATGGTATTTTTACGTGATACACAAAAGTTGGGCGGCGAATGTATGCGAGGTTGCGTCGTGAGGTAATTCGGCCGGGCGTTTTTGTCCTCTTATTAAGAGATCTCGCCTCGTCCGATGAGTGAGATGATGGTGTGGGGGAGAAGTTTTTTTTTCTTTCAAAAAATGAATCAACCTGGTTGAGCCTCAATTCTTGGCGGCCGGGTAACGCTGTTAAGGCATTATTTCCAAAGACCAAGACCAAGACTAACTTTAATGGCTCTGCATCTTCGAATATCATAAATTTATCATACTGGTATCGGTATCATACTGCAAATTGAGCCTCCATTGTCCCACCCCCAAAACCTACTGTATCATAGCCCACCCGCTGAAGGAAGGACTCCGAGCGAACCAGTACCCATGATACAAGCTTTCTTACTAATCCAATACTTCCTCCATACTGTACCGGGAAATTGATGACTCACTGACAAAACATGCGCCCGCCCGCCAGATCATAACTGGCTCTCTTTCCGATGTTCTTTACCCCTACAGTGTTGTACGGGGTACTTACCAAATTGCCTCATTTTGGAGGATCTCACTTCAGAGGTTGTCACCTCACCTTATTGGTCGATCGACTCAGCCCATTTACCCAAGATTTCGGAAGGAGTATTTTTTAAGCGGCCAAATACCGGGTGATCCGATGTTTATGGGGGAGGGGGGGGGGGTGGCGAGGTAATTGTTCCTTCCTTCCCTCCGGACAGAAGGTGCCTAAAATTTTGATAATGGGAAAGAAAAAAAAATTCTGCCTCGTCCGAAGTATCTATCGGTCTTATACCTCCGTATGGTGATCGATTTCCTTCTTACCCTACCTCGCTTGTCCTTTTCGAAGGATGGGAGAGGGTGCGGGTTAATTTCCGTTTTGTGTACAGTACAGTACAGTACCGGTACCACATAAGCGCTCGCGAATCGGATCGAGTTTTGTGGCATTGGGGGCATAACTGGTGAGATAGGTCGTATCGTGGATTCGTCGGGTATTGAGCGGGAAAGGGAAGGGTGAGAGTAGGGAAGATTCAGAGTGAGTGAGTTTTGGAAGAAACTGTTCGTATCGTATGCGTGTTCCACAACACTGGCCTCTCGTATCTTGAAGCTCTTTTTGTTGTGTTTTTGTTGGTCAGTTTCTATCCCGTTTACTGGAAAGCGATGAGGTCCGTTACTATCCACTACTCGAGGACTGTACTATTGGTGTCGTGTTGTTTCCCGGAGCGTTGAGTTACCATATTTGACTACTATCGTACTTGTAGTAGCCCTACTATACAACCTATAGTCTACCGTAGCAGGAAGCTACCATCATAACACCCAGCACTTGTAACACCTCAGCACCCCCCCGCAAAAAACCTCTACTATCATAGAAAAAAAAACAAGACCTCAAAAGCATTGCCCCCAGAAAGTCTAGGATGTGCCTTGCAGTATCATGTAGCCTTACGCTACAGTTCCGTCCGCTATTGCTATTCCCAAACTCCTACTTACAGTAGTAACTTACCAACTTTACGATACTACCGCCAATACTTGTACCCCTTCCTTTTTCGCCATACCGCCCCCCCGGTTCCGGGCAGTGTAAACGGGAGAGAAAAGTTGGCGGTACAAATTAATTTCCGAAAAATCCTAATCCAACCTCTCCCACTCTCTTCAACCCATCAGAATCCAACCAACCAACCACTCCCCGGAAAGCCAATACCGGACCCCCCCCCTTCAGCGGACAAATAATAATAATGCAACACCACGAGGCTCTGCTGTAAGGTACATCCCACGAATCCGTCTTCTCGAAAAAACGAAGACTGTGCGGTAAAATGGTATTCTTAACCTTTTGCGCGCGGCCATGAGACTGACGGTGCGGTAAGGTGCACTTTTCTAGCATTTTCGCCCCGGGTGTAACGGTCCGCGTGGATGCTGGCGGTCCGCGCGCCGTGGGCGGTACCGTGGTTTACGATGGCTTACGAGTTGAGTCGGTCGGTCTAGATATCGTGCTTGATTGCTTCGCTCGTCCCCTCCGGAATTTGTGCAGAGTAGTTATGGTCCTATCTCTTTATTTTAGGACTGTGGGCGGAGCAGTGGGTAATATCCACATCCACAGTATTGGGGGGCGGGGGTCGCTGGAAGGTACTCGGTACTGAGGATGTACGATGGTGGGTTTGGCCTTTGTTCTATGTCATGCTGTTGTTTGGTGGAGAGAGAGTTAAATATATATCACACACACATATATATATTATAATATGATAATTATTGAAGACAAAATACAGACAAATAATTCAATAGTTACACCCACAGTGCCGGAAGAAGCAACATCAAAAATAGAACATTCCTATATCACTCGAAGAACCCGGACCAGCAAAATAGCGAAGGATCGAGGTTGAAAAGCGATACGAGCAAGATACGACAGCAAGAGAGGGAAAAACGAAGAAACATATTAAAGGCCAGGAGCCCCACCCACCACCTCACCTCACCTCACCTCACCCCGATCAATCCCAAAACGATCCGTGATATCTCTCACGATATACAAGAACCAACAATCGACCACCAGTCGACCAAACTCCTATTATCAAAACCATATCATACAAGAAAGCGAAATCAACCTCCACCGCAAGACGGCCAATATAAAAAAATGCCCTTCTTTCTAACAAGTTTCAACACTTTCAGCCTAACCACCCGCGCCAATACCGCACAGGCGCCACTGGAGCGACTCCTGACCCGCGCCTCCTCCCCTTCCCACCTCCCCGCCCTCGCTCCCCCCACCACGACGCCAAAGTTCGACGTGCGCGAACTCCCCAGCGCCTACATCCTGGAAGGCGAGTTCCCGGGCATCGACGACACCAGCAGCCTGTGCATCGAGTTCACGGACCGGAGCACCCTGCTCATTCACGGCCGCCTGGAGCGCGCGGTGACGGAGCCGGCGGCGGAAGCGGAGCGCGGGAATTACCTCGTCATGGAGCGCAGCGTCGGCGTCTTCCAGCGCAGGTTCTGGTTCGAGGAGGGGGTCGAGGTGGAGGGTGTCGATGCTAGTCTGGGCAATGGGATTTTGAGGGTTTATGTGCCGAAGAGGGAGAGGGAGTGAGGGCCGGGCTTTCTTTTCTCTTGACTCCCTTCCTCGTCCCCTCCCCTATCATAGCGTTCAGCTTTTTTATTTTCATGTTTTTTGTTTGTTTCTGTTAATCTCGCTGCTTACCTTACTTTACTTTGCCTTTTCGCATATGAGCTATCTTAGACTAGATCTTCCTGCCCCTTCCATTTCTGATTTCAATAAAAAAATCTCGCATCTACCATGCCTCAGGGCTAACGTTAGAGTTAAACATGTCAATGCCCGAAACCTTGGCACGAGTGATGATCCATGATGCACTCTTCATCTGTCCCACCCTTTGTCTAGACACCAATCCTATGATATTTACACAAGTGATATCATAGCGCATCCCGAGTAAACCTGATATAGCGCTCCAGTAATTTGCTAATCTATTTTTCCATTGCAATAACACTTTAACCCCGAGGCCAGTCTCACTGGGGGCAAACACTCCCCAATGGCGGCTGTGTTCATGGCGGCACATGCTGCCTCCGTCCAAGGCTACGCTCATGAGCACAGCTACATAGCACGATGGCCCGGAATCAACAACAGTGGGCTAATTCAACAGGAAAAGGGGGATGTGCCAGAGCAGTCATTTGCCACGTAATTTTAGTTTCACGAGGTGCGAAAAACGAGGGCGGGGCGCACTCTCTTGGTTCAGTAATTGTTATTGAGAAGGGAATAATCATGGCACAAAACTGTACAAAATGCTAAGTTAAAGCCCCGGACAGTGGTAAGGTGATATAATGACTCCCTATCTCCCGCCTCTGGTTGACCCCCCCGCATATATTCCCGCTAGGCTATTATGGAATTGGAGGGCTCTCTTGAACACCTGTGCAGCCGCTACTTTGTATATATACTTCCTCAACAATGACGATCCCCATCGATCTATCTCTCCCCAGCTGCCTGTTTCATGATCATGGATTTTAACCTCTCCATGGCATTAACTGCCCTCAAGCCTAACGAGCGAACAGCGACGACAGGTGGGAATGCGGTCCCGTACAACTTGTGGAGCTTATCAACTATCCCAATCATCAGGTTGTTTTTGAAGTACTGGTCTGAGCAGTATGGCTCGAGGGATAGTGTGGAACCTGTGGGTTTTTTGGCAAGATTAGACTAGATCAGACTGAATCTAGCCTTGCGAGACAGGAAGCGGTCTGCTATGGACGGGAAGAATATCATACCGATGTCTTGCCCGTTCTGCACCGCAGTCTCTAGAGCCTTAATTAGAAACTGAGCATCCCCAATGCCCTGATTTAGTCCTTGCCCTGCGAGCGGGTGGATCGTATGAGCAGCATCCCTAATGAAACATCGTGAACTCACGCCCAAGATTAAAAATAACGTTAGGTGGAGGGTCAAATGCATACCCTACTAATGCCACTCTCTCCGAAATGTAAGAATCTACATGTCTCATCTTAAGCGGGAATGAAGCAATCGAGTTTTCTTGCACCTCCAAAATTTTGCTTGGAACCTCCGCTTTGTCCGAGGGTGTTACAGACTGCCTCCACTGGTACTCCTCTAAAATGCCTCCGTCCATTTTGGCCATGTATGCGATATCAACATGACTCAGTCGAAAGGCACTGTTAACCATAGCGACGAAATCTACTGGTGATAGTTTTTTGAGTCGTGCTGCTATTTCAGGAGTAGTGGACCATACTAATGTTGCAAAATTCCCCGGAAGCTGTCGCGCATAAGATTAGCACACTGGCCTCCCGGGCCCGAGTACACCACTTACTGGTAGTAATGCTACAGGCCCGGTCGGCAAGAACCTCTGGTAAGCAGTTCTCTCGACATCGGGCATATCTTCAATTTTCACCGTAGCTACGACTCCATGTCTCCCATAATCCCAGCCACGACTCTCAATCCCAGCGAATGCTCTTACGGGTGAATTCGCACCGTCGGCTCCCACCAACAGTCTGGCGGCCAGCTCCCTTCCTCCAGTGATTTGGACAATGGGCCAGGTCCTCAAATCAAGAGTGCCGTGATCCCCCCCGAAGTATATCCCCTCTACCCGAGTCTTGTCGATAAGCTGAGCCCCGCCGAGCTCCCCAAGCCGAGACAAAAGGCCATGAACAAGGTTAACGTTCTCGGTCATGTAGGCAATTGTAGATGAATTTTCGGCGCCCCAGTCAAACACGATCCGAGAACCAGAAACACCATCCCATACTTGCATTCCGTGATAATCCTGTACTCTATTCCTTTGGACATGTTTCCACACCCCAATATCTACCCCTATCAGTATCCAATTTAAACCTATCAGCTCAGGGAAAGGAACTGACTTACCAGTCAGAAACCCGACAGAACACGGTGTCAATGAACTGACTCGGTTGGAATAATTCTCGCTAGAAGGCTTCCATTTCCTTCCGGCATCCAAATCCAACCCCTCAATCAGTGCCACCCTCAAGCGTGAGGTGACACTCGAGGATCTCAGTGATGTGGCGAGAGATAATCCAGCTGGGCCACCTCCAACAATCACTACATCATATAGGTTTTCTGGAATATTTGTTGTGGCGTAGGTTCTTGGTACCGAAGAGTGTCGAAAGGCTATGAATTGGGGTTGGGAGGTTAAGCTTCTTAAGTGAGGTACCGCCGCCCGTGATCTTAAACACCAAATTGGGCTCATTTTCGTTGTACTCTAGTACCGGTACAGTACTCGAGTACTGTTCGTCGGAGCGGAGTGGTTTTAAAGTGTGGGGGGGCGACGTTATGCAACAGACGCGAGACGCACGTGACCTCAATTGGGCAGAATCGGGTCTCTCACACAACACCTCTAACCGTGTCAAGGTGGTGGCGTCCACCACCGGCCCCTCGCAGGCTCGCAAACCGAGAGCGCTCCAGAAGAGTGCCCAAAATCTCAACGTTAATTTCATGCTTAACAATAAACTCCAAGCTCAAGAATACCCTGATAATTTACTCAGCAAGGTATCGCCTCTGTCCTTCCTTCTGGATCTCCTACACATAAAGTTATAACAATTTATACCGAAAAAATTACTTTCATGCTGAAAGAATGGCGTGTTGAACAGGGCCTTAAATGCGTTTACAAGCAAAAGGAATAAAGTTAATTCCAAAGTTGTCAGAGTATCATATTCAACGAACTCTTTAGGGCATTATGAGATATAACTACCAGTATTAGGGAGAAGTAATCAATTGACAGCAGATTGTTATCAGGTTAAAAGCCACCCAAAACAAGCTAGCTAGCTTTACAGTTACATAAATAGTCATTAGGGTGTCCATTATTGGAGCACCCGGTATGATATCATTTTAGTATTCTTTAGGCACTAGTATGTTAGTCTCTATATTAATAACAAATTTACACCAGAACAATAATTATAATTATCACTAATGATAAAGCATGACTAACTGCACAGATAGGTTTACATACTACCAGTACGAGTAGTACGAGTATGATAACGAGTTCATGATTCGCAGAGCCGTCTCGATAGGCCTTTCGGCTAGGATCATGGATTATCTCCTGGGCCGTCAAGACAGTGGGAAAATTGGTCTCATGCATTAGCGTCAAATTAGTGTTGATTCAGATTACTAATATGCCAATGGATATCAAAAGCGCAGAGTGTATTCTTCTATGCCTTACATTAGTACTAACTATTAGAGGTATGCTATCTAATAAAACAAGAACTATCGTCCGGTCCACAGAGTGCAATTGGAGGAGAACAAATTCGGCACTCGAAGGAGGTAAGCTTTGGTCGCTGTCGACCTCTGGTTTCTCCACACCTGTAGTCTAACCTGCACATAGAACAGGAGCAATGAGAATTGATTTTTTGTAGCTGGTGGGGGAGGACTTCGGCCATAGGAGTAGTGTGAGACTTAGTAGTCCGATTATACTTTTCCAAGTATAATCGGTTAGATTTCTTTTCTTATGTCTGATGTATCCGAACTCGTTTTGGCTTTCCAATCACTGTAGTTAAGGCTAACTGCTTAACTAGCTGCCGTCGAAAGAGTTCTGCTGGGTATGGCCAAGCAAGTTGATGGAGTAAAATCTGATCCTGCTGTATCTCCCCCCTGTCCAGTTTCCTATTAAATGCCTCTGCTCGCGCATGTACATACAAGATATGAGAATTAACAAGTGATATATCTAGTAAAAAATACAATAAACAAAGCCAATTTCTACATGCTCTAATATATGTGGTATAGCCAGCACAATGTTGATCAGCTAGATCAACACTATTTATATGGTGGTTGTAGTCATTTACTACCCTTAGGATTGGTAGGGTTTTCCGTTCTTGATTACTGAAAACCTGCCGGGCAAGAGCAGCATTTGTACTAGTAGTTCGAGGCTTCCGTCGTTCACTTAGAGTGTATTCATTCCAATAGTGAATTGTGGTCAAAAGTCGAACGATATTGTTATGTTCCCACAGTAGACAGAGAACGTCCTCTCAAGACTGAAATTCTCTACAAATAATCTCAGAAGTTGTAGCAATACACCCTGCTAAGGAATTCCAGGCAGTCATCGTCTTGTCTTAACAAATCTGAAAGCTCAGCACTATTAATCCTAGTAGTACTAACAGCTCCTATAGACATCTTCCTAAGTTCTCTGAATAAAGGAACTGTTGAAAATGCATTATCCATATAGACGACATGTCGCTTTTCTGGATTGAGGATACAACAAAGCTGCAGGACTGCCGAGCCTAGAGGTGAGAGATTTGAGTGCTTCTCAAGACAGGCAATTGAGTTAACCTGAGATGTGAATAGCCAATTGAGGGTATAGCCAGAATCACAAATTGCAAGTTCCTTATAGCCAACTGGAATTGGTTTTCCAGGTAGCCGAATAGTGTGTGTACTTCACTCTGTAAAGTTGACCATTATCTCATCAACAGCGACATTGGTGCTAGGCAGATAAAGCTCCTGGCATCGATATTGAAAATAAGAAGAAAGAGATTCCAATTTCTTCAACCAGTCTTTCCAGGATAGCTTTGGTGATTAACTACTGCAAGGTGGAATCGAGATATGCAAATAACGATTAATCTACATGTATCTTACTAGGCCGTTCGCTCCCTTGGGTAGCATACTCCAACCATACTTCTACTGACTCGATAAACTCGGCAGTCTATTAATACCTCTAAAGATAGAGATACTAAGAAACTTTTGAAGCCCAGAAGCAGTAACTGGTCTCCATGACCGTGTGCCTTTCTGCCCAGCAGATGCTAACCGCTTTTGCTCTGTGTAGATATTGGTTGCCTTCACAATTGGTTCTAAAATTGCCGGGGTCCAAAAGAGAGAAAAAAAGACGATTGGTAATAATTCGATATTGGACGGTAGTACAGCTTGAGCTGCATGCTCTGATGCAGCATGCTCTAAAGATTCGAAACCTTCTGGTCCAATACAGTTTTCTGAACCTATACTAGCCATAACTTTTGGCTTCTTCAAAGGTATATGCTGCATTTTTTGGATAAGGTCTTTCGAGAGCCTTTAGAAGACATCACGTAGTCAAAATCTTCCTTCACAGTCACTTTAGAACATACTGATGATAGCTTTACGTTGATGAGAGATTTTATGCCAAGTTACACTTACCCATTTACAGCTAGTTTACTGACACTAATGCATGAGACCAATTTTCCCACCGTCTTGACTGCCCAGGAGATAACCCATTGATCTCTCCCAATCCCAATTTGGAAGCCAGCTTCGTTAAAATTATATTGGTCACAAGGCTGGCTGTCTGAATTATTACAAACTCTTTTATCACTCAGAACCCAATCCAAAATACTGCCTGAATTCTACGCTCCAAACTGTCGTAGTAGGATATCAACCTCTCTCCACCCATCCATACTTGCGGCTAGCATAATTCGACCATGGTGTAGCGAAAACATGTTATCTTATACATTGGTAGACAATGTACGTGTTCATTGAGCATGAAATTGTCGTTGAGATGTCCGGCACTCCTTTGGAATGTTCCTAGCTTGCGAGCCTAAGCAGTGATTGAGAAAGTTTAACAGCCACTTTATATCTATGCAAATGACTTGACCAGTGCATATCTTGGGCGGTCCGAAATAGTCAAATTCGTCGCCAGGCACGCTGGGCCAAACCTGACAAAAGTTAGCTGAACTTGCCCAGAAAATCAGATTTTCAGCCTCTTAAGCGTTCAACTGACTCAGCACCTTTGGTGAGATTAACCATTCCTAGCAAATCACAAAGCTCAAATAACCCCAGGACAGGTTTAGCGTGCCTGGTGGCAAACTTGACTAGTTTAGGCGACTCAAGGGATTGGACAATCGGAGCGGATTAACTTTGAACGTCAAGCCAACAATACGGCTTCCCCCGAATCACATCATCACTCGCAGTATAGTAATCATAAATCGATCAACATCGGTATTCAACACCCATTGACAATAAACAACTAAAAGCACGCTGGGGGCAAAAAATTGGAAACATGAGATGGAATCAAAACACAGTTCAATCGCTTCAATTCGCCGAGCTACAGCCTAACCCGTGATCTACTTTTTGCTTCTCTCGGTCAACGTCCTCTCTGCCATCTGCTTGGCCTCCTCCGCCTTCAATTCCCTAACCTTAGCGAGGACGACTTCCCGGAAAATAGCCGATCTAGCAGCCCTGGAGAGCCTTCTTGCACCGCCTGATGTCGATGTATTTTGGCTAGCGGAAGAAACACCTTCAGTTGCCGCCTTCCCAGTATCAGTGGGCAAATCCTCTTCGGGGTCATCGGCCCTCATTTTGAGTGCTTCAATACGATTCGCAAGCTTAACCATTTCGATTCCACGCCTGAGGCGAGCTTTTGCAATATAAGACTTGATTTCCGGAAGGACATCGTAGTCGGTGGCAGTTTCGCCAATGAGCCAGGTGTGTCTAAGCGCCTCCTGTAGAGCCACACAAATTAGAAAAAAAAGGTCCTTTTCACGCTGAAGACCAAACTCAAAGGGCACTCTACCTGACTGGTGGGGCGGTCTTCGGGCCTAGGTTGGAGAAGCCCGCCAATAAAGCGCTTCGCGTCCTTGCTGACCTCCTTCCAATAACGCTCGTGGAAGATAACACCTCCTTTGCTACATTCATCGATGAGATCAGGGAGACTCTCGCTACGGAACGGGGAGTATCCACAGAGGAGAGTATAAGTGATAACTCCCAAAGACCACATATCAACAGCCTTTCCATGGCCCTTCTTTAGCATAACTTCAGGTGCAGCGTATCCAAAAGATCCAGCCATGGTGTTTAGCATCTCATCACTCGAATCCAGCATTTTGGCAATACCGAAATCTGCCAGAACTAGGGAAGATTTGGCATCAGGAGTGAGGTATAGAAGATTCTCGGGTTTCAAATCTATCCCCGTAAGGTTAGCATCAGGTCTCAATAATTGCGTAACTCGTAAAACACACCTCTGTGCACAATGTTGTTATTATGCAGGTAATTCACTGCATCCAGGACCTCACGCACGACTTGAGAAGCATCCTTCTCGGTAAATTTCCCATACTCACAAATGCGATCGAAAAGCTCTCCGCCGGTCGCTAGTTGAGTGACAATGTAGTATTTGTCCTGCCAAGTGATTCCCCGCGTTAGCATTCATAGTGTATCCTCCCGCCCCGGCGGCCCCACGAGGGTCACTCACTCTCGATTCAAACCAATCCCTAAACGAAACAATGTGCGGATGCTTGAGTCTCTGCAGCAACGCCAGTTCATCGTATACCATCTGCTCGTTACCCTTGACATTCTTCTTGAGAATGATTTTCACAGCGACTTTTCCGGTGGGTCCGTCTGCTTCGCGAACAATTCCATAGGTACCTGCACCCTAATGCCGGTAAAGGATATTAGCGACGGGCATCACCTTCCCCATTTCGAAAGAGGAAAAAAAAACATACTAAGGTGCGGCCCATCTTGTACTGTGACCTGATTACCCCATGATCGTCAGTTCGTATCCCAATCAATCCCAACATATCATCAATGCTCACTTCTTGTCATAGGTAGGTGGCTGCCCGTGCAGTTTATTGAGCACCGAAGAAACTGACAAATTATTCCGTAAGAACCTGAGCACCATGCAGGGCAGAGATTTCGTGGGACGGTTTTAAAAAAGGGGCCCGGGGCGATAAATGTACGTTTGAGAACGAAGAAACGTAAGGGCCAGGGGGGAAAAATGAAATGGTTAGGTGGACTCGGGGGTATCTTTTTAGCTTACAACTCATAGTTCCGACGTTCCTCTCGTTTATAGATATGTAAATAGGTCAGGGGTGAATGGGTGATGCGGGGAGCTGGGAGGAAGGGATTTGTCCGTCTGCCCAGTGGCTTTGATAGTTGAGGTTCAGGGATCTGCGGGCAGCGGGGCGCAAATGGGGAAGAGACACAAATAGATTGATGGCACAGCAGATAGGAGGGTATGAGACGCAGAGAAGGTGTCTGCTATTCGATGTTTACAAACTTGCAGAAGGAGGTGGGGTTGTTGTTCTTCTCTTTCAAGGAAAGAGTTGGTTTCGATAGATGGACCACACCGTATCGTAAGTGGTGTAAAAAAAGGAGAGAGGGGGTGTTAGGGTGCGGAGAGGTCAGAAAGAAGAAAAAAAAAATAGTGGTGCTAGCGACTGCTTGCTTGTCCGTCTGCTGTTTTGGCTTTTTGTTGCTACTTGAAGCTCGTTCAGTTAAGTGTGGTGGGGTTTTCCCTTGGCAAGACCATAGATAACACACAAGCGGAACATACCTCCCCAACTGACAACAACCCTCAGAATTAACAAAATGGAAGCCGAATGGAGTATCGCAACGACCAACCCCGGCCAACAGCCTCAGCCGCACCCTTCTCCCAATAGCGCACAAATCCCTTCTTTCCGATTCAAGTTATCATTCCAATGTTGATTCTTTCAAGATACCGGTACTCGAGCACAGATCTTATTGCACTCTCGCAGCCAATTATTCAGTGAGGGCAAAGATATTAGGGGGCAGGAAGAGCAAAGCCACCGCAGCACTGACCTCGAAGTCTGCCTGGTTCGCGAGCGCAAAACCGTCCTCGTAAGCACCCTATTCCACGGTATCAATCAGGCACACCATCGGGGCGGAAACAGGTCTTGTACTGTACAGAGCATGAAACACAAGGCCAGCCCTCAATACACACCAGGAAGGATCATGAGTATCATACGGGCACAGCGAGCTGCCTAACCGCAGTTCCTGCTCAATGAAGCCTTCTCAAACACTGTACATGCACGGCGAAGCACAATATGATACTCTGTACCGTACCGTACCCAAGCCCTGCCTCGACTCCACAGCACGGCAGCCGCAGCATCCAAAAAAACATCACCTGCCATAGCTCCAAGGGTTTCGGCATAGACAATTATCCCCAAACAGAAGGCCAGGTGAACCATGATACAGTACCGCAAGCTGCAGTGGTAACTCCGTATAAGCACGATTGTACACTTTAAAACAACATCCTCCATACCTACCGCAGCGTACCCGACGGTAAATCCCCCACTGTCTATAATTCTCCGCAGCATCCCCACCAAACCTTCCACTTTTCCTTGCATCATATCTTTCTATATGCCCTCTGGTACGTTGCATAACCCACCGAGCTTCATCACTGGTACTCGAGTACAGGTCCCACAGTCACATCCTGGGGCAAATTCCTAGCATCACCTCCCCCAGTCTTGGAACCTACCGCTGCTCATGAAACATATCGGGTAAGCAATTTACTAGGAGCGGGTAGGGCGAGGCGAACACACGCACTCAACCCAGGAACAAATACAGTACGGTAACTGTGCCCAAGAGCTACTGGTATCCTCTCGCTCCTTCTCTGGACCCCCCTACACACGTGCGCTTCTGTGATCCCAGGTTGATATCCTTGCTTTCTCACAGTTAAATTACTACCATTTTACAGCCAAGGCTCCCCACAATCATAAACGCCTTCCTGGCGGGTACGAGATCTCACATTACTTGTACGGTAGCGTACCAAAAACCGCAACCTTAAAAAACGCAATATAAGCACAGTACAGTACTTGTAAGCAGTCCAAGTATCGCAAGATGCAGCAGTTTCACATCAACAACCAATGTCTCAGGCCCCACATCAGGCCGTGGGAAATGGCAAATTCACAAAATGAACCGAAATGACATTATAATAAATCAAAATTCCGCCTTACAAGACATAGGATAGATGTTTTCGTTCAAGACGGGGATCATTTTGCGGGTTAACCTGAATTAACTGCGAAAACTTTCATCTTTTTTTTTTCTGTCTCTTTAAGCCAGTGTAAGAATCATTCATAATGTGCCTTATTATACCCGCCACTTCACCAAGGTATGCTAGAGCACCGGTACTCGTAGTAGGGTTGGCCTACCGTACCGTACTTATCTCAAACATCATGAAATGACCGCCACAACAAAGAACCTGACCTTCGTCAAATCCACACCATCACCCGTGGAACAGAGTGGCAGACTAAGCGAGGCAACAGACTAGACTACGACAAAGGGCGAAAGTCTCTCGTTATCCTCACAAAAGCTCACTCGTAAAAGCCAAGCTATCATACCCCATTCAAGAGAGCATCAAACCCACCTTACTAGAGTCGTAGGCAGTAGAATTGCGAAATGGGCCTCCGCAGCACCAAATGATGAATAGAAAACTACCGATCCCCTCCCTTATAAAACCCGATCAAATCTAAAACCCAACCGATAGCCAAACCATCCGGAATAAATCCCGTACGGTATCATAGCGAAAGGAAAAGGAAAATTGTTCTCCATAAACTACTCGTACTATCGCTATCATACACACCACCATCCTAAATTTACCAAAAGAAAGCCCTCACAAAGTGAGTAACTTATCACAAGTGTCTTGGCGGAAAAAACGAACGAAAGGAAGAAGGGTTAAGGGAAGCAATCCCATTTCACCCGCGATCCGATCTACACCTTGAGAAGAGTCTTGCCGCAAGCTGGGTACTCGAGTAGGGTACGATAGACACAGACACAGATCACGTGCAACAAGTTGACCGCCAAGCCCCTTCGCCCACCTGCAGCCCCACGTTCGGGCAAGCATCTAGCAGGCACAACAACTATTCCTACCATCACCACAACCACTCTCACAGGTCACGATGTTTCACGCCAAACGCCTCCAAAAGGAGCTTATCAAGGTATCCTACCCCTCTGCTCGAAGTGGTATAGTTGAGACAAGGAAACAAACTAACAAGAGGGGTGAAACAAACACAGATCCACCAAGGTCTTCCGCCAGGTACGTAGCTTGCTCACCCACTGATCCACTCTCCAACGCCTTCTAGCCAAGCAAACACTGAACAAACACTGGGATGGACAGGAATCCACCTCGTCGCGGCGAATGACTTTCAAGAATGGCAGATGGACATCCAAGTTCTAGACGAGAACCCACTGTACTACGGAAAGACTTACAGGCTCAAATTCAAATTCAGTAATAACTACCCTATCGAGGCCCCCGAGGTCATGTTTATTAGAGCTACCGACAGAGGTAAATTATTTTCTAACCCATTACCCTCTCAAACAGCAATAACAAGCTACGATACCTTCATACATGGACAACCCTCGCTAACCTTGTGAACAAAAAGACATCCCAATGCACCCACACATCTACTCTAATGGCGTAATCTGTCTGGATCTCCTCAGCAGCGGAAACGGATGGAGCCCCGTCCAGAGCGTTGAGAGCGTGTGCATGAGTATCCAGAGTATGCTTACTGGGAACACGAAGAACGGTAACCTCCCCATCCCACCCTGTTCTATGATACCCGTTCTAACAAATGAGAATCAACGCAGAGCGGCCAGACGGTGATGACCAGTTCGTCCTCCGCACAAGCACCTCCCTTCGTAACATCCGCTTCGTCTACGATGACAATACTGTCTAGCTTTTCTTCTTTCTTCTTCTTTTTGCTTCCTTTTCTCTTCCCCTTTCTTTCCCCCTCTCCCTAAACCTACCTACCATGTACTCAAAGGCGTTCCGGAATACTTTAAGCAATGGGCCGCGAATCGTACATGATACAGGGAGCGTACCAGGGAAATGGTTTAGGATCGCAGAGAAAACGGGCGAGTGGGCGCATACCTTTTTTTTCCCCTTTTTTCCTTGACTTTTACCTACAACTTAGCTATCTTTACACCGCTTTTTTCTCCTCGGACTGTTGATCATGAACCATCACTCGGCATATATGTAAAGGGAATTGCTTAACTTAAACCTCTTATCGTTTTCTCCTTCTTTTGAGCCTTTTTGAAATGGAAGACCTCTTTGTGAAAACATTTTTCACCCATAGTGTACATTTCCCATCGTGATGGTGAACATGCATGAGCGTAACCTGTAAAAACATCGCGGGTTACCTTGGGCAGCAAACACCCATCGCCCTAACCAGGCCCAACTCAACCTCATCCAATAGCCAACCCGAGCCAAACCAGCTAGCCAGACAATACACGGGGATAGTCGTTTCGCCTCAGCCCCCACACTCACGACACCGGGGAACCACAATATGCATACCGCAACCTCGATTACCGCAAACGCGTATGACACGACACTAAATAAACGGCTAACCAAACAAACAGGCAAATAAACAGGGGGCTAACCCAGATTATCGCGGTAGGGAAATAAGAGGTTATGAAAAAACCCAAACGAGACAAGAATCATGATGATAGAAGGAGGCTATGGGAACGACATTCCGCCGTGTGATGAAGATGGTAAGGGTGAAGGAGAAAAAGGTCAGGGAGAATGAGAAGCAGGGGATAGATATGACCATCCACTGAACGTAGCCCACACACGAGCACTATGACGACTAAGATTATGACGAAGACGGCCGGTTCGGGGTCTTCAAGAAAAGACCCATGAAAAGTGGGGGACACGAAAACCCAAGTAAATAGATAAACAAGTAAAATACCATGAAGCAATCCACAGAAATCCCTAGAAAATAATATAAAGTAAATCCTCCCCCCACAGACACATACACATATACGCACCCAAATACCGAATAAATCGGGAGTGGACAAATAAACAATATAACACCCCTACACTTAAAGGAAACTCTCCACTTCCTCCCAAGTGAAATCTGGCAACTCCCCACCCACCAGCATTTCAAAACGGTTACATCTCTGGCACCAAGCGAGCCTTCTATTCACCGGCTGCTGGGGACGTGATTTGGTAATCGACACAAGGCAGATGACGTGGTATGAGTGACCGCAATCGAGGCCTAGTATCGCCGGGAGGTTCCCCTGCGTTCGACCGGTGTAGAAGGGTTCGATGCAGAAGCCGATTTCTGTAAGGTTGCACTGGGTTTGCTGGTGCTGATGTTGTTCATGCTGTTGGAGATCATCTTCTGAGGTGGTGGTAGTGGTGGGAGCGGTGGTGCTATTGGTGTTGCTGTTGTTGATACTGTTGATGTTGGCGTTGCTATTGAGGGTGGTGTTTGGGGGTGGAAGCATGGTGCTCATTTGGTGTTGATGAGCTTGCCAGTGCTGATCACGGTACTCCGGGTATTGCATTTGCTGGGGTTCGTTGTTGCTGTAATCGTTGTGCTGGACGCATGGCTGGATGGAGTAGTTCGGTGGGGCCTGGTGGGTTGGTGCCATGGGTGTTGGTGGGGGACTAGCCGGGATATGTCGATATGGTTGGTGGTGGGGCCCACCTCGCGTGACGGGAATGCCGGGTGGCAATCGCTCGGGTTGGGGCGCTGGCGCTCGATTGATTCCCATATCCAAGTTGGAGTATAAGCTCTGGTGGGCTTGCGGATGCATCGATTGGGGCCGTTGAGTCATTGGCGTATGAACAGGATGTCGGGGCGGAAGAGCGTTTATGATGGGAGCGTGTCTGAGGAAAGGTGAAGCCATGCACAGCGCCATATCCATGTTCGCAGTGAATAATGGTGTGTCGCCGAATCTTATTGGTGATATGCCTGTTGGGATATGGGGCACCGGCGCTTCTCGGTATGGTACCTGTCCACTTCCATTTCCATTTCCCTGTTGATCTACTGGTTGAAGTCGTGGCGCCTGAGATACACGTGAATCCTCCGGGGGATTCGCATCCGAGCGGATTCCAGGATGATTACTTTGATCTCTTTCCAGCCAAGACGGACTCTGTGGTGACACCCTCCTTGCGGTAATATCCACCGATTGCGTGGATATGCGTCTCCGGTGGCCCATTGCGTGGTGATGGCGGGTTGAATCCGGACCGTTTCTTTCCCTTGCCGCTGCAGCTGCATGTGCACCCTGCCTCCTCATTTCCTGGTGCGATTGCCATCTTCTGCTCATTGCCATTGACCTCCCTTCCTCCTCCTCAACAAAGTCCACCTCCCTTCGACAGGTTGGACAAGTGCTATGCCCCTTCAACCAAATCTTCAGGCAATAAGAACCAAAGTGATGCCCGCAGCCCATCTGCAGTGCGTGCTCGGTCTTCAACTCATCCGTAGAATCGGGGACATCAACATAATCCTCCATACAAATGATACAGGCCGTCTCATCCTCCTTTAGCTCCCTTAAAGCCAGCGGCTTCAACTCGGCAAGGGCCTTCTCCGAAGCATGTCGCTTCCGCTTAGGGAGCACCATCCTGGGTGGTGATGAGGCTCGTGGGTTAACAGGCGGCTCTTCCGATTGCCAGCTCCCTGGGGAGGCGTAGAAGTTCCTCCCTCGCACAAAAGGTCTCGTTGGTGGGATTTCGTAATCTTGGAATGAAACGTCATCGTAGGCGACGAATGATTGCCGCATAACCTGCGATCTTATTGGAGTTCCGTATGTCGTCGACAGCGGGGCGTGGGGATGGGTCGGGAGTGGGGCATATGGTCGAGCTGGTGCATTATAGAACACATGTGAGGAAGTAGATGAGGTACGATAACTCGAAGGGCCATGAAGTAACGTTTGAAAGGTATAAGAAGAAATGTCGTTTAACAAACCTGCCGCAGCCCCATCTTCGGGATTATGATGGCCAGAATGGAATTCGTGACTAGACATAGCTATTTTGGTGCAATGATGATGGGGGAAGATAGGCAGATATGACAAAACAAAGCGTTTCAGGAAAAAAGGTTTTTTTTTTTCCCCAAAAAGAGATGATGTAGATAAGAATGGAGGAAGAGCCCTTTTTTTTATCTCTGGTTTAGGCACTTCCCTTTGTGTTTATTTTCTTTCTTTCTTTCTTTCTTTCTTTCTTTATTTCTTTTCCCACCCGCAAAATCGGATCCTTGTTTGTTTTTCTCGCGATTTCTTTTCCTTTTTGTGGAGGATTTATCAGATCAAGGATTTCTCAGGTGTTCGACTAATGGATTGCTGTTTTGGCTGTTTTTGTATCGCGCACTCAGCCATAGGCACGATGTCAACAGCTAAGGTGGAATAGGTGTACAGCAGCGATTGGTTGTGAAGCGACAACAACCGCGAAATCAGAAACACGGCTTGAGGGAGCGACAAGAAGTGTAGGGGATGGTGTGGGGGGGGGGGACAAGAAGGAGACAAGGAGATAAGCGGCAAGAGCTGTGCACACGATTAGAACAGGAAACTCGGGGCGGAGATGACCACAAAATAAATAAATAAATGAACAAAAGGAATAAATCGAGCAGGTAGGCGGGCAGACGGGCAAGTGAGCAGGCAAGCAAGGGATTAATGGTACCGGAACTACGATATATCCCACTCACAGCTGACAGGGCAACCCGAGGTGAACGAGAGTGAGTAGGACGAGAGAAAGGGAGAGAGGAAGAGAGTTAAACCAGAGAAAGGTAGCGAGAGGGGGAGGGGGAGGGAAAGAGAAGGTAAAGTGTGAGGTAATGAAGGAGGGGGGAGAGGGGGATCGGTGAACCAAGAATGGTTCGCAAGAGTTGAGTGCTAACCTACTCGTATGTCCGGATACCGTGTATAGAACACAACCTCCTCGGCGAGAATAAAATGCGGTAGAGAGGGAAGGGGAGATGATCGATTTGTGGCCTGTAGTGAAGCCAGTCTGGCAAAGGACAAGGGAGAGGGAGGAGAGAAGGAGGAGAGACACTCGACCCGCTTTGTGTATCTCCTGCGAGGACCTTCTGTTCGCAGCCGAAGAATACAGACAGGAGCACCGCAGGGGAAGAAATTTGATGATAGTGTTCGGGTATTAGAAGGCGGCGGAGAGGGGGCGGAAGAAATATTAGAAATTGTGAATAAGATGAAAAATCTCCTAGTCTCGTTATTTACGATAGGGTAGGGTAGGATAAGATACGGCGTGATAGCATGATACTATCATAGAAGGTGGTAGTCGTCTCTCTTTCCCTCATCTTTGCTAACAACTTGCACCGATCTCCTCTTCCCTTTGCGTTTCAAGCAAGCCTTCACGAGTGGAGCAGGTCGAGTTCGAAGCTCGTAGGGTAATCATGGCACAGTGTTAGCCAGACCCCCATAAATTTATCGGTACTGATACACCATCGGAATCCCGCAAAGTACCGTGCCAACACCAGAAACGAGCTGTGAGCAACGTCAATCATGATACAACCTTCCACCGCAGATACAAAAACTGGTTCTCCCCTTTGTGGTTCTCTGTATGGTACTTGTACTCGTAGTGCCAGTATTGATAACCCTTTTCTCCTCCTCCGCTCCGCTGCCTCCTCCTCCTCACCCGATCCCGTTATTCAGCTACCTTTCCCTTCCCCTCTCACTCCATTCTACGCCATGATAACCCTTTTTCCCTCGTTCCTGCACTTCAGCCATTCGCCGGGGGCAAACACCGCAAACGCCGGAGTCTCCAAACATCTCGATGCGTCGCCTACCACCTAGCGGAGCGAAGCAAAGCAACACAACATGTTAGACTAGCTCCATTTTATTTCCCCGAACACAAACCCCACCTAAAACGCCCCCTTTCCTCCCTTCTTACCCTCCTCCCCTTCCGTTCGTGGGGATACCATATGTAGACTACACCCTCTCCCGTCGGAAAGCCTGATCTCAGCAACCATCTTCCAATCGAGTATTCCACTTTTTTCCCCAAGGATTTTTCCCCCCCAAGTGCGCAAAATCATTAATCGCAAACAAACCTGACTATCTACCCATCCATCTGCCATCTATTCCATTGTTCTAACCGTGGGGTGAACGGTTGATTTGATTGATTGATCGATTAAATTGGCTGGAAGGAGATCAAAACCGCCCCCCCGTATCTATGATACCTTTTCACTTTTCCCCTCTCGTGAGTTTATCGTCACCACACTACAGTGGAATAATTCCACGATCACCGCCGGGCAAAAAGATCCATGCCATGGCATAGCGGGGTGGTGAGTAAGTTGCCCCGGTGGGAGGGAAGGAAGGAATGAACCAAAGCCTGAATCAATGAAATAATAAATGGGAGCCTCCTCCACCTCTTCCGGCCAAGGCGCCAAAATTTTGGTAAAGGTAAACAGCGAATCTCTCAATTAATCAATCAATCTATCTCCGATGTCCTCCCTCGCACAGAGCCTGACAAGACAAAAGGGTGCGAAGATCGCAAGGGGTCCCTCCTCCCCCCACCACTCCCCGCTCGATTTCGCTCGTGTGTATGGCACCCTCAGCTCCTGGCAGACATTACATCACATCTACGAGCTGCGAGTGCTGTATGCGATTCAGGCGCACGCGCCGTGAGCCTCACTCAAGCTCGAGAATCTCCAGGGTAATGACAACCAACCAGCCAATGCCTGATTAATTAATCAATCAATTAAACCCCCCCCTCAATTTTCTTTCTTTCTTTCTTCCCCCTCTTCCTGTTCCTCTCTCTCCGCTCTGCATACGGTATGCTGTCCTATGCACCCCACCAGTTCCAGCGACGTTTTCGAGACGAATGCTGTTGAATCATCTACCGTATCTTTTCATTAATCGACCAAGTTAATGCCTAACTCTATCCACCCATCCATCTACTCGTATCCATCCATCCACTCGCCTGGAGTGATGCTGTTAAGCCATATACCCCTGGGTAATGTTTTATTGCCTTACCTAACCAATTAAACGGTTGAACCATCATCTGCCGTCGTGCCTTTCTCCCCCCCCAGTCTCCAAGTGCACTTTTTTTCTTTCTTCTCTTTGTTTCTTTTTTTTCCTTTCCTTCTTTTCTTTCCTTGATTCCCTCTTCACTTCGGGAGTTTGCATAAGTCAAGTCAACACCTATCTAGCACATCGTATCATGTTGTTTGTATCACACATGCATACATGCCATGCTATGCGGTAAGGCACCGGTTGGGCCGGAATAGCTTGCGTATATATAATATGTGCTCCCTTCCTTGCTCGCTTGATTGACCCGTGTATCGGCGTTCGTCCCGCTGAATCTGAGTGGAACCCTATAGGGGCATGGGGGATCACTCGGTATTGTTAGTGGTGCATGCATCGGGATGTGGGAGACAAGGAGGATGCCGGAGGGAGTTCCGAAAGGGAGCGGAGTGGAGTCACTGACGGCGGAATCTGTGGCAAGGGAGGTCAGGTAATTTATGTAGGGCTTGTTGAGGAAACACCGGGTGGGGGGGAGGTGGATAGGGTACCGGTATGGTAGGGTATCTGGGCTGCTGTAGCGGTGATGAAAAAAATTGGTCCGGATATAGGTTATATCTTCCCACTGTCTTTGTGTATCATACGGCACCATATTTGAACCGGCAACGCCATTACCCCTTCCCTATCCATCCATCCATCCATCTGTGTAATGTATCCGCATCCTGGCAGTACAGTACAATGTACTCGAGTACAACAACTTTACCGCCCTGCCAGCATGCACAGTACTCGTAGACTACATTACCGGAGATCCAATGCTGCACCCGAGTGGCATGCGGTAGTAAACTACATGACATGGCACGACATGGCGTGACGCGGGATGGCGGAATGCGAGAAGCTTTTCGTGAACCCCCCCCCAACGCACACACGGATGTAACTTGTATGGCTAGCGGAAGGGAAGCATATCAGATTCAGACAGGTCCCAAGAATAACGGCCGGTTATGGAAAATGCAAAAGGAACCGGGAAGGTCTTTCCTTCTGACCCTGGAATCCAGCGGCTGCACCTAGACGTTCTGATGTCATATATACCAGTATAATAAGTGGATTATTCCGCAGTGTGCATGAAACGTGAAGTTACCAAGTCGTGCTTGCTTACTTACTCCCCCCACCAACGGATTCTCAAGGTGGGATTCGGAGAAGGCCAAACCGGGGGGGTATTTGGAAAAGCTGGATCTTCGGATCTTCTCCTGTAGTTGCAGCATGGGCGCTTGATTGAGTACCCCACGGTGCGGTAAGTGGTGGGTTGCCGTGCTGATTCCAACCAGCCCATCTTGGGATTCGAGTGTAGAGAGTACGAGTAAAGTTTGCATTGCAGTATTATACTCGAGTAGTCTGGAGTATGCCCTGCTGTAACTGTGGGAGGGACGGAAGGACTATCACAGTTGTCGATACTGGGAATCGGGATGATCCGAATAGTTAATTCGTAGCGTGATGACATGTGTTGATATAGAGTTGGGTAAACCCCCCCCCAATCTGCCCAAATATGATAATTCGCCAGACTCCGTATGATGCTGCAACCCCCCGGCAAAATATTCAATGACCGGGAAAAAAAAAAAAATACGCTGGATTTCAGCTATGCAACTCACGAACCAATATATCCCACAAATTTTCGGTCTGGGGTAGGAGGATTTATGCGCTACCGGTTTGCAAACGGCGGGAGTTACGATTCCGCATACAAATTTGCGTGAGCATTGGTATTGTCCGTGATTTAGTGACCGAAGGTGGGTGGAAAAACTGTGACATTTCACAAACACTTTTGGTGGTATGGTGCTGACTTGCATCCTATCGTAAATTAACTCCTCGCAGCTCGGGCCTGGACGGCGGGGCGCGGGCGGCTGGTCCCAACACTACCGATATAACGGCTAGCCGACCCCCAGGACACCCGCTGCGACATCAGCATCCTTAACTGCAAAGTTACAAAACCATAGAACGGTGCCTCATACACTCTCACTCGATCACCTTTACGTGTCACTTTTGAATCACTGGTGCTCACATCTCAGAGTGCAGTGTACTGTACCACATCACTGCTCATTTATCGCCGCACATAGAATGCCCAAGGGTTCAGTCTTAATCTGTACGGGTTACTATTATTCTGAAAAACAGAAGAGTGTATATATCAGTGATCATTCCAACACGGCTTTCTTCCCCTATATCATCGTCTAGCTTGGCTCTCCATTTCTCCACCTTCTCCTTCCGCTTCTTCGCTCACGGGATCACCACCACCATCGCTCACGAGCTGAAGGTGCTATCACTTTTTGCAAAAGGCGTGCAGAGGATATATCGCGAACTGGTTAAACCAGGGGAGAAGCGCCAGGGCGGTTTCCGGGCTGAGATATTTCGCTATAGGTACGACTCTGAAGAAGAGGAAGAAGAAAATCAACCACCATCCCGCGAGCCTCCAATTGAACTAGCATTTTCGTAGGTCAACCTGCACTTGTGAGCATCCTTCTTCTGCTTCTTGGAGGTGTACTTCGCGCCGCCGCTCAAATCGCGAGGGTGAGGATAGACAGTCATGCAACGGCGCAGATATAGAGGAGGAGGATGGACGCAATCGGGCATACAATCTTGAATCCCGCATCTCAAACTCGCTCTCCCACGGCCATGGCGGACATTCCCCGGTGGGAAAAAGTCATCCATCACATTACCAAGGCGGGCATTCCACGAATGGTGACTCCCCCGTGTACCAGCCGGCCGCTGCTGCCGCCGAAGAAACCGTAATGAGTGGACATGCGAACTTCGGACGCAAAGATGCTGATACGTTGGTTATTCAATTCCGAGTGCAGGTTAAGAAAGGTATGCCATATCTCTTTGCGTAAGACATGAGTGAGCGATAGATTGATATGATATAGTGTAACGATCAAGACAGGCGCTGAGGCTGAGTGCGAGGTTAAGACCTGGAGATATGGTGCGCCTTCAGATTCTGGCTCTAGATTCTGGCTCTCTGGGTCGTGGGGGTCTGGGGGTCATGGGGGGGGGGCCGAATATGAGGAAGGGTCAGGTTATTGTCGAGTATTTTGTTCGCCCTTCTGAAGGCGGTGGGTTGTTCTGGGCCTGCGGGTGATCTCCCTAAGGTTTCTACGAGTCGCCCTGCTTCACGCAGCGAGAGGCAACCAGATCTTGCATAGGGATAGAGAGGCTGGGTTGTATCAACCAAAGTGCGTTTCCTGTATGACTGGGTTGGAGGACAGTGGCTGTGTGATCCTTATCGAGTCTGATTAGGGGACTATTAATTAGTGTTTGGCGTGCACTAGAGTGTGTGAGTCAGTTAACTAATATTCGGTACTCGTATACTCACAACTATTATTTTTTTCGTACGAATTGCGTTGGGAAGGTTCACTATATCCAGGTCGTGATTTCAAAGGATATATAATTATTGATATACATACAGTATTATGGAGCCTTTTCTTAAGAATCATTGCCCACTGGTAGCTGCCCGTCAAAGTTTATGGCGCTGTGAGACGCCAGTCCTGATCTATCGTGCGATGCAGTACCGTATGAGACCATGAGTAGAGTGCGGTACAGTAGCATGATGGTGGTGGGAGACTTTGACGAAATTTAGGTCATGGGTGACTGTTTGCTGAGATGCCTTTTGTGGGGAACTCACATTGGTCCTTATGGGACTAGCGCCACTACACAGACAAAGTGGCGGATGGCTCAAAGTGTGAGAGAGCGAGGGAAAAAATTGCACCCCTCGCAGCCTACATATTTTGCCCCTCTCGTCTCGTCCTTCTCTTCTCTCCCCCACCATCAACCACAAATTTTCACAACGCATCAAGAAAAAATAACCACCATCCGTAGTACTCATTCCTTCTTATAAGGGGACTACTACAGATACCTTTTACTGGTAGACACACTCCTCTTCTATTACCTCATTCCACCATCGCTAACGGACTCTACCCGTACAAGCAGCAAATACTACCATCTACCGCTCGAAAAACCTCTCCACTCCTCTATTACACCTTGCCCAGCATGGCTACAGAAGGACTTAAGGATGTTGAAGTAGGAAATCCTGTTTGAATCACATCCTCCCCCTACCTTTGTGGCATACCATAGTTGTCTTCGCTTTTTCTGCCATGCGGCGCTGCGGGGCGCTGACTGCGGGGCAACCGCTGCACATGAACTTGACACTCACAATTCTCTTATGCAGGGACAAATTGAGTCCAACTACGATGAGACTGTCGACAACTTTGATAGTATGGATCTGAAACCTGAGCTTCTCAGAGGTAAGCAGATTGGGCCTTCCCTGCATCGTAGTATTCACTGTGCTGTGCATCCACAGAAACTGCCGAGCAGTTTCTTTCCCTACCTTTATCTATTTGTTTGATGTTCATGACCTAACTTCGTTCTCTCACAGGCATCTACGCATATGGGTACAGAATCAGCTCGGCCATTAGCGCGGGGCGTTCTGCTAATATTTTTCTAGTTTTGAGCGTCCCTCTGCCATCCAACAGCGTGCCATCCTCCCTGTCATTAATAGTGTGTTCTACCCCTCTTTTCTATTTTTTTTCCTTGTCACCTCTTCTATGATTATTTTATTAAAAATCTAATTTTGAATAGACCGTGATGTTATCGCCCAGGCCCAGTCTGGAACTGGAAAGACCGCGACTTTCTCGATTTCTGTTCTTCAGAAGATCGATTTGTCTGTCAAGCAATGCCAGGCTTTGATCCTAGCCCCTACCCGTGAGCTCGCTCAACAGATTCAGAAGGTTGTTGTTGCTATTGGAGATTTCATGAATGTTGAGTGCCATGCCTGTATCGGGGGAACTGTCGTCCGCGAGGACATGAAGATTCTTCAAGACGGCGTGCACGTCGTTGTCGGTACTCCTGGTCGTGTCCATGACGTGATCCAGCGCCGCGCTTTGAAGACTGATGCTATCAAGCTATTCGTCCTTGACGAGGCTGACGAAATGTTATCGGTTTGTAACTCTTAACTTCAGAGCCCACCGCCCCCAGGTACTGATATTTCTTCTAGCGTGGTTTCACCGAGCAAATTTACGATATCTTCCAATTGCTTCCCCAATCCACCCAAGTCGTTTTGCTCTCTGCCACCATGCCTCAGGATGTTCTTGAGGTCACCACTAAATTCATGCGTGATCCTGTCCGCATCTTGGTCAAGAAGGCCGAATTGACGCTCGAAGGTATCAAGCAATTCTACATTGCTGTTGAGAAAGAAGACTGGAAACTCGACACACTTTCCGATCTCTACGAGACGGTTACAATCACCCAGGCCGTTATTTTCTGCAACACCCGTAGAAAGGTTGACTGGCTCACTGAGAAGCTTACTGCCCGTGACTTCACCGTTTCCGCTATGCATGGAGATATGGATCAGCACCAGCGAGATCTCATTATGAAGGAGTTCCGATCTGGTTCTTCCCGTGTGTTGATTGCTACTGACCTCTTGGCCCGTGGTATCGATGTTCAACAAGTCTCTCTCGTCATTAACTACGACTTGCCTGCAAATAGGGAGAACTACATCCATCGTATTGGTCGTGGTGGTCGTTTCGGCCGCAAGGGTGTTGCGATCAACTTTGTTACAGCTGTATGCTTCCAATCATACCCATTTACGATTGCGATAAGCTAACCATGTGCGATTTTTAGGACGACGTCCGTATGATGCGTGAGATTGAGCAATTCTATTCTACCCAAATCGAAGAGATGCCAATGTTTGTATCCCCAAAAGTTTCGTTGCTCCTGCGCCCGGCTTTGCTAACAAAGATACCCTTAGGAATGTTGCTGATCTCATCTAAACAATTTTCATAATTTCAACTAAATAAAAGTTTTTTTCTTTTTCTTTTTTTTTTACCTGGTTTCCTATGACCTTCTCCCGTTCCGGGTTTATGATTTCCTTTTCTTTTTTTGTCTTAGTCCTTCCTGATTCTTTCTGTATGCGTTCTTCATCTGGGTTGGGAATCGGCTATCACATCGGGACAGGACTGTGTTTTCATTTTCTCCCTAAAGGGGCAGTTTTCGAATACCTGAATGGAAAATCATATGACGACGATGACAACATTTCATGACCTTTGACGAAGACACCAATTTTTTTCTTTGCTTGCATGCTTTCCTTCACATCATTAGCTTTGCTGGTCTCTTTATATGCGGATTGCGTAGAATTATGGTGGAGCAGGCTGCCGGGGGAGGGCTTAGTTAATAGTATTAAGCTAAAATTTATATTTTCCAATACCTCAGGCTTATGGAATTGCGTGTATCTTGAAACGATATTTTATTGGTTGTAGACTTATGGTGAGTGGAACCATACTTGGATAGATTATGCCTCTACAATTAGACTAGTTGCTGTGCGAACACCATGCTCCTGGAGTACAAGTAACATTAAGGTGGTTGGGGAAGGGCATATACTCTCTCCGGACATACACAGCGGATGTCAATATCCTATCATATCCACACCATCCCAACTTCCTCCTAATAAACATCACGACTCCCTCCACATTATACCGGCAAGTGAACCCATCACAGCATCACATCCTCAATCCCGTCCTCCTCCCCATAGCGCGCACCGAAAATGCCACTCACAAGGGTAAGTCGTATTACTCGATTCCCTCACAGTACTCAGTTAAAATCCTACTAATTCTCACTGATCCAACAGCTCCCCTTAATTTCCAAACCCCGCTCGATAGCCTGCATCGGCCGCAATTTTGCGGATCACATAAAGGAGCTCAGCAATGAGCGTCCAAAGGAACCATTCTACTTCCTCAAGCCAGCAACGAGCATCCTGCATCCGGGGCAGGGGCCGATCCTTGCTCCGCGCGGGGCGGATCTTCACTACGAAGTCGAGCTGGCGGTGATAATTGGGAGAACAGCTGACGAGGTTCAGCCCCTGGAGGCATTGGATGCTGTCAAGGGGTATTGTGTGGGGATAGATATGACTGCCCGGAATTGTATTTCACTTATTACCCACTTAGTTATTCCCATTCTGTAGCACGAGTTTTTTTTATATTAATGGATAGGCGACCCCAGGGCAACAAGCAGCACGTGGAAAAGGTCTTCCATGGTCACTATCCAAGGGCTTCAAGACCTTCCTGCCGGTATCACACTTCATTCCTAAGAATAAGATCCCGGATCCGCACAATGTTCGTTTGCATTTGGAGGTTAATGGGAAGATCCAGCAGGATGATAATACGGGTCTGATGCTATTTAATATTCCGAAAATTCTGCAGCATGTTAGTGGGGTATTTGCACTCGAGGAGGATGACCTTGTGCTTACGGGAACACCGAAAGGAGTGGGAAATGTTGTGCCTGGAGACGTTATTACTGCGGGGGTTAGTGTTGATGGAGTTGAGCTTGAGGATGGGAGGATTGAAGTTAAAGTTGAGGAGAGGGTTGGGGGGTATTCTAGGCTATGACGAGATACACCCGATATTGTATACAGTAGAAGCATGGGAGTAGTCTAGGAGCCCTTCAATCTCGAAGTAGTCTAAATGTTATCATACTGTACCATACCCAAGCCACTTTTTTGTCCGAGGCCCCAATCTGAATCAATCATGCCCTGCCAAGCCCAATTACAGTACGCACAAGTCATGGACTACCGGTATGATAAAGTTATCCTCCTCATCCTCCTCTGACACATTATTTCCTTCCCCATCACCTCAACCGCCTCCCACTCAACTACCACAATCATGCCTTCCACAGAATCCGATGCAGCGTCTTACGCCGCCACCAGCGAAACCGACTTCTACGAGCTCCTCGAGCTCCCCTCCTCCAACACCCCCTTGACCCCCTCCCTCCTCCGAAAATCCTACCGCAAGGCCTCCCTAAAATGGCATCCAGACAAGAACCCCTCCCCCGAGGCCGCAGAGATATTCTACCTCCTATCAATAGCCTACGATGTCCTCTCAGACCCGGCGACGCGAGCAGTATACGACAACGCACGCAATGCGCGGTTAGCGCGAAAACGAAGGAATGAGGCATTCGATGTGAATCGCAAGCGGATGCAGGAGGAACTGGAGAGTCGGGAAAGAGGGGCTAAGAAGGCTAGAACTGACGGTGAGGATGCGGAGGAGCGGTTTCGCCGGCAGTTGGAAAAATTGAGGGCTGAAGGAGCAGAGTTAAGGAGGAAGAGGGAGGGGGCGATGAGGGCTGCGGTGGAGGAGGAGGAGAAGGGAGGGGAGGAGGAAGGAGAGGCCATGGCCGATGGGGATGGGGGAAGCAATGGCGGGAGTAGATTCTCAGAAATCGATCGCACATTGAGAGTCCGCTGGAAGCTCAAGGGAAACGAACACTTCGACGAGCAACACCTCCGCAGCATATTCTCAAAATACGGTGCGATACAGGACTGCGTTGTCCCGCCTACAAAATCGGAGAAGGAAAAGAAGCTTAAGTCCGCATTGATAGTCTTCACCTCCATCGTGGCCGCCCACGCCGCATTTCACGACCCCCTCGACTCACGGCTCAAAGACCTCGTCTGGGCAAGCGGCAAAGAACCAGACATCTCTCACAACCACCACCACTACCACCCCACCCCCGAACCCCACACACCACCGCCGCCCAAGCCGAAACAACAAACTCCAAAAGACCCCCCAAAACCACCCACCCTAGCAAGACCCACCACTACCACTACCAAGGATCCTAAACTCAATAGGGTTCCCTCCTTTGCTAGCTTCTCCGGGACACCGAGAGGATCTCCGTCTAACAGGAGTGCCATCGCGCAGAGTCCGGATTACGAGAGTATTACGCTCATGCGCATGAGGGCTGCGGAGAAGGCGAAGATTGAGGCTAGGATAAGGAAGGAGGAGGAAGAGGAAGCTGCTGCGCTGGAGGAGCGGGAGGTATGAGATTCATTATCTCCTTCAGGTTGTTTTGCCGGGTTTTCGGGGGGGGGGGTTTCTCCAATGATACAAGTATGGTGGATGAGTTTCCTAAGACTTTTTCCCCCGCCCCAACAGCAGCACATTAGAATGGGATTGCTGGGGCTTAATAGATGTATTATTGCAAGCAATTTACTCACTAGCCTAGTTTACAGCGATCAAAAGTGTATCGTATCATAAAAATACTTCGTTTGTTGTATCATAGAGTAACTACAGTGTGCTACAGTATCATACGGTGAGTATTCACCCCAACCCATCCACCCATGAGCAATCACGCGGAAAAAGAAAAGCCCAATTTTTTTTGTTTTTCGTTCCACTCGTCCGTTAGCCAAGGCCGGAACACAATTCAAAGCTATGATAAGTCCGTGAAGAAAAAAAAACCATGACCCTCCCATTTCCCCAATTACTCCCATCCATACCTTCATTAAGTTACCACCCATCCATTCTCCATCTATCCATCTACCTATCGCTCCCGCTCCCCATCCTCCACCTCCTTCAACATCTTCTCCCAGTTCTCAATCATGCCCTTATAAAACTCAACATTAGCAGCAGCGAGGCCGCCTAGGGTATCCTTCATCTCGCAGCTCTTGATGCGCTCGAAGTCGGTGACTTCACGGATGACCTCCTCGTCGAAGGCCTCGCTGACCTGCCTCGCATTCTCCGACTCACGCGTGAGCTCTTTTATTCGCAGCTCTAGTTTTCGGACGCGGTCGCGGCGGGACTGTTCGTGGTCGACGCCGCGCACGTCTTCGATCTTGCTGCGCAGGAAGCCGGTGGGACCCCCAAGGCCCGTTGTGCCGGCGGGTGCGGAGGCGATCTGGTCCCGTTCTGTAGTGGCGCGGTTGAGATAGTCTGTTAGTGCCTCAAAGTCGAGTTGCTTCTGTTCGCGAGCTTTCAGGAGTGTTTTTAGAGCGCCGATGTAGCTCTGTAAGTCCCTAAGGCTGCCGAGGTAGTCTTGGTCTGTGTGCTCCTTTAGCTTCCGGAGGCCGCTGCTGGTGCTTTGGACGCCGGCAGCAAAGCTGCTCACCGGCCCCATGAGCTCCGGTTCTAAATCTAGGAGTTTGAGGAATTCTTTGGAGAGGTCGGAGTAGTCTGCCTCGAGGTCCGCTTCTCGTCGGACCACCTTTGTGATTATGGCTGCCACGTGCATGAGGTCGTCGTCCAGCTTGTCTGCCCGATCACGGACTTCTATGAAGCGCCTGTCGGGTTTGTGAACTTTGCTGAAGGCGTTGAGGAAGGTGTCCGTCAGGCCCTCGAATACCCCGCCGGTTTCACCTTGGCTGTTGGGCGCTCCTCGGGCGGGTCTGTAGCGCATGTGGGCATTCCAGTCGGGGGATTCGAGAAACACCATTAGGAGGCTTGTTCGGCGGAGGACAGGGTGAAGTGTTAGTCTGTTGAGGAAGCGGCTGAGGGAATTGGCACGGCGATTTGTGAAATCCGGACCGAAGCGGTCCCCTCGTACATATTCTATATAGCTTATTTAGCTTAGACTCGTAGAATCTGAAGGTCCTATATGGGATAATCACCCATCTTATGCTTCCCCGGCAGTGGTGGAACCGCACAAGCAGGAAACTCCCTCGTCAGCATCGTCCAGATAAACACGAAATCCGTAAATCTCCTTCGCACTGATACCAGTGGTTTCTGAAACGATGGAAAGTCTGTCTACAAGCGTCCGGAGGTTCATTCATCAGCCATTGCCTCGCAACAGAAACTCAAAAATTTGCCCTATTACGTTTGTGGTAACCAAGTATGAAACAAATGCATCCTTCGTCCCTTCATTCTCCGTTTGCGGATCTGAAACTTTGGTCTCCAGGGTTCCATTGCCCACTCCAGTCATGTCTATTTTGTCCGTGTTACGGCCTGCCTGCGGTTCCTCTCCGTTGGGGAAGCCAGATGTGCTTGGGGGGGGGGAGGGCTCTTCTTCGTCGTCGAAGGTGGTTCGCCATTGGATCGAGTTGAAGGAATCCATGGTTTCAAAGCCTGTGATGGATCCGTTATGTATGCTCGACGGTGGTGGGAGGGTGTTCGTAACCAAGGGCGAAGATGTGATAAATTTCACTTTGGGTGAGGCTCATAAGGTAAGGTGAGGGTGTTGAAATGAGGATTGGTGGGACTGTGGCGGGGTGGATGATGACGCTTTGTCGTGGCTTGGCACATGAGGGGTCACTCGGGAATTCCGAAGTTGAGGAGAGGATTTTGCAATTTGAGCTTTCTGGAGCGGCTTTTGAATAAGCAAGAGCTCCGCTTATGTTAGCAGATGAGCGGCCCAAGTTCCAAGTCATAACTGGGGTGAATGTTTTGGGGATTCAAAGTACAATATCGTGCTCACAATATTATGCACCATCTTACGAATAAACTTCCCATCCCGCACTCGTATGGTCTACCTATTCTACCAGTGAAACTTTATGCTTAGGGCATAATTGGGGTAGCTATCCCATATCACGATGTTCATAAGTAGGCGCTGGTATTACACCCACGGGGGGATAATACGCACAATCCGCCAGACGCACTTCAGCTAGCTGTGGCTCCAGTTTCCACAATACAGCTGGGCAGGAATCTCAGAAGCAAAGTTCAAAATTTCGACATCTAATCTAAAGATTCTCTTGTCCTTTCCCTGATCCTCCAGATCTTACATCATCCATTTCTCCTGCAGCAAAAGAGGACGCAATAAAGTCTTCATCCCCAATAAATTTCGGGGAAGGGAAATCTGGGTCCCTCCCGTATGCAATTCTCGCGGCGTCAACCAGAATCCTCGCCGTCATCCCCCAGACCTTGTATCGCAGAAGCTTGGTTCCGTTCCATACTGGTGCTTGGAATTCATGATTCCTATTTTGTAGTACCCGGAAAATAAATGTCTCGCTGTAGCGAATGGATGTTGGGATGTAAACTTACTTCCACTTCCTCCCGCCCCAACTAAACCAATTCCCGTTATACCATGGAACGCCGTCCAATCCTTGCATTGCACCATCATCATCATCGTAGTCATTCATTAGAAAGCGTTCCAGTGGAACGGTAAAAGCGCTGGCGACCTCCTGAGGATCGAGTTTTGGTATAAGGCTATCATCGACATCCGCTGCCAGACCCTTGGTAATGTCACGCATATATGCTACGCACGGCCTCACGCCGATATTTGTGCCCGCCTGGAACAGCGGTAGCTCTGTCAAATGTTCCACAGAGACCTGCGAAGGGAACGGATGAGAGTCTAGCGGGAGGCCGACCTCCTCATAAGCTTCTCTCCGGGCAGTTTGCACTGGTGTCTCGTCCGGGCGGTCGGCTCTTCCTATAAGTTCGATTAGTAATAATTTTTAGAAGCATAAGGATGGGGGTAGCTGTATGACTGCGCCTACAATACCTCCAGGTAAGGCAACTTGGCCCGCGAATGTACGCAGCGATGCACTACGAACCGTCAAGACTATGCATAGTTCGCCAGCCCTGTCCGCAAATAACAGTAATAGCACTGCTGCCCGCCGGCACATGGGAAGGGACGAATATATAGTTGGCGGGGGGACATACGCCCGTAGCCGTTCGAGAGCTTTCTGGGGGATGAGTTAGTTGGGAGTCTTTGTCGGAGCTTGGAGCAAAGTACTGTTGAGGTGGGTGATAATGGTGACATTTTATATATATTGCAGCTAGGCTTTGATTATACTGTGACTTTGTTGTAATTCGGGGACTTCTGGTATGGGTGTTGTGGTCTAGTGGTATCGTTATCGCTATTGGAGCTTAGCAGTCGGAATGGTAGAGAAACGGGCATTGCCTGAACTGATGCCTGAACTCGCGTGGTGCGATGCCGGTGTCATGTGGTACCCGACAGGTGCAAGTTTGGAGAGATCTGAAAGTATGACAAAAATAATTTAATTTAATCAAATGGCTCTCATGTTAAGAACGCTATTTCTTAGGATTGATTGGGCTATTCTCCTACATTTTCTATGGGTTGGCGGTTGAGATGCCAAAGGTGAGGCTCAAGTTTGTCTGGATTTCCGACGCGTCTGCCCGAACTTTGCGCCCAAACCTCAACAATCCACGCGACAAATCATGGAGTCAACTCCGCCAGAAGAAGTTTACGTTGATGAATTCGACCCCAAGGAGCACCAGGTATTTCCGCTTGATGTGCTGCTATTGGCACCCATCTAACTCATAGGTTGTGTGTTAGGGATGTTACATTTTCACTCTGGACGGCGAAGAGGATAGGCCGACAAAGCACCGGAAGACTAAAGGCAAGCAACGTGCTACGGAGAAAGCAGTTGTAGAGGAAGAGAAATGTCCTTTCCCTGTGCTATTAGATGGTAAGGAGACAGAGAGTACCATAAAGCTCAGATACCGGACGTATTGTAAACTTTGGGAGGCGCAAGAAAAGAGAACGAAGGTGAGGTTATGATGGACAGCAATCCTCGGCCACCTGCGCTGATAGAGATATAGGCTATTCTGGATTCTTTCAATAGCAAGACTCTGGATGACGTTTCAACTTTTGTAAAGGATGCTACGCCAGAGAAGTAATTGGAACTACCTTTTTTTTTGAGAACCGCATATTTACAGTCCAACAGGTACGAAGGGAAGATCCCCACAGCGCTTGTTCTCGCCGGTCCAAACATTGCGTCGCACGAGCTGCTATTCGAACAGCTAGCTCAACGGATACGGAGTCAGGATAGGACTGGACCAGTTGTGGTCCTGACCTCTAAAGATGCTACCAACTTAAAGACCATTCTCAGGAAATTGATCAGGGACGCTACACAACAAGATGAAGGCGTAGATGACGAAGAAGAGGATATTGTTCGCAAGGTTGGTAGGGTGGATGGGGTCCCTAGATGGATTTCTCTCTAACCCAATCGCAGAGCACGAAATTACTCAACTACGATCTACAGATCTTGCAGATTTGGTGTGAATTACACAAGGGTCAGAAGGTCACCGTTGCGGTGCAAGATTCTGAAGCCTTTGACAGCGGTATTCTTTCTGATTTAATATCGCTTTTTATTTCATATTTGGATCGCATACCATTTGTACTTCTGATTGGTATTGCGACCTCAGTGGAGATATTTCACGATAAGCTTCCGAAATCGACGATTCGTCTCATGAGGGGAAATAAGTTTGATGTCGAACGGGCTGAGGAGTGCCTTGCCCAGATATTTAACGACTCTATGACAAGCGATGAAGCTGTTCTCAGGCTTGGGGCGTCTGTCTGTGATTTCCTCCTTGAACGGTACAGGGATCACACTCAGAGCATACAAGCCTTTGTGGCGGCATTGAAGGTAATTCTCCTCTGGAATGCACAATAGAAACTTGTTAACAGTTAAAAGTATGCCTACATGTCACACTTCTACGCCAATCCTCTAAGCATTATTCTTGGATTTATTGATAACACCGATGGTCTTGGAGAGGTATTATCTACTGAGCATGTGGAGGCAATCAGAAACGTTCCGTCTTTTAGGAGATATGTAGAAGGCAAGATGGCCGCAAAGGAAGTCGGTGAGGTCCGCAAGCTACTTACCGATGACAATTATGTTCGTCGCGCCATTGCCGAAAGAATTCCGGAGTCGCGAAATTACGGTATCGAGCTAGGCCAGGCATTGACATTCTTGGAGATTGGGCGCAGCTGTACATTAATCCAGAACAATGCCCCACGTTATGAACTGTATTCGAAAGCTCTTTCCGGAGAGCTTCAAACCAGTCCTTCCGTCAGGGAATTTCTAATGTCTTTGAAGCGAATGAATTCCACCACTTTACTCAATCTCCTTGAAAAGGTCATGCAGGAGATCCAAACACCAGCTATCACTGAGCCTCTAAGACCTTTGCAGGAGAAGATAAAAAAGCTAGTCGAGGAAGCAGAAGCCTCTGGAGGAAAAAAGAACTTAATTAGCGAGTTTGACATCACGAATAATACCTTACGAGGGACTGCCGTCTCGAAGAAAGTCCGACTCGGCGAGCAAAAGTCTTCGTTGACCAAGCAGGATACTGAGTATTCGGCATTAGTCCAGCAGGTCTATACCATCGCCGAATCATACCTCACGACTAATTTCAACTCTAGTCAACACGGCTTGCAAAATGTACTCCTGCACGAGGTCTTCTTTTACGACTTGAGGTCTCCGCATAGTGCTGTTAGCCCTCCTTCACCTATGTTTATAGATAGATGCTGACAGTAGGCAGGTCTTTGCACCAAAACCCCGCTCCACGATTGAGCGCGGGTTGTCCCAACCGCAGGACTACCTCGCTTGTTCGTGTTGCACCTCCGCCGACGGGGATGAAGTCGGTATCAGGGGAACTCAACCCCCCGCCAGCATCATATACCGATTATACCTGGAGTCCGGCGCGCTGATCAACATATACGATCTCTGGAGCGCTTTTTACTCCGTTATTGCCGGCGAAGAAGAGGAATTTGACGTTCCGACTGCTCAGTATTCCCCCCAATTCTGCTTCTGCTTCTGCTCCGCTTTAGGTCTGGTAACTAACGTTGGCATGAAGGGCACTGTTCTACAGATCACTCGCGGAAATGCGCTTCTTGGGCTTTGTGAAGCATACGAAGAAGAAGACGGATCACATCGCGAAGTTGGCTTGGAAGGGAATTTGACCTTACTCTTTCCCTTAATTATGTTTCTGTGCTCTGACTTTCCTTTTTCATTTATTTTCATTCGCTCATCTTTTCGGTTTCCATTTTCCACTCTCCACTTTTCTCATTCTCGGATTAAAATTACCCATTTGTTATTCTGGATGGTTGGATAGATTGGGATGCCTTTATCAATTCTTAAGTTGAATTTTGTGTACTGAAATTGGGCTGGTGCCAGTAGTGTCACGACACGGCAATACCGGTAGTAGAATCTCGGGAGGTTATTGTGCTCGCCTACATATATGGTTGAGTGTTGAATCAATTATATTATTATTATTATTATTATTATTATGTGGTGAACATGTACCAGCGCTTTATCCTCTCCCGGCGAATCAAGATGTTATTGCACAGCACTAACTGCTAATTCCGCCTACGCCATCAATCACGCTTCCTTCCTTCCTTTCTACAGTAGTACAGTAGCCCCGAGCATAGGTTATGCAAAAGAGGCACCAGCACAATGAGTCGCCGCCCCTTACAGCGGATCCCGGGCCTAACTTTACTGCCCAACTACTTGGGAATACCGGCATCATGGGTTGCTACGGTATACAGCTTCTTTTTCTTCTTTTTTTCTTCTTCGGGGGTGCGGGGTTGAATGGATAGTATCGTACCTGGCTTGCTGTGGTAATTTTCTGTTTATATTTGGGATAGCTGTGGGAGTGTATCTGGTGTGGGGTGGACCGGCGTGTGATTCGGGTTGTTCGCTAATAGATATGATATATAGAGGTGAGGGAGTCACCGGTCTGACTGGCGGGCTTATGGTAAAAAAAGAATATGGGAAGGTTTGTGAGGATGTGTATAAAGCCAGATGATACAGCCCCCCGGAGAACCATTATGCTGCCCATACACAATCTATAACTCCAACATTCCCCTCCCCTTGAACTTCTTCCCACCCCTCTCCCCGGGCCTAACCAAAAACCTCCTCCCGTGCACCTCGAACACCCTCCTTCCCTGTCCCTCTTTCCCTCCCCCAACCTCGATCCGGAACACGCAAACCCCCTTCCCAGCCCCCCTAACCCTCCCGCTCTCTTCACAAGCAATATACACAACCCCCCTCCTCTCAATCACACAAACCCCCACAATACCCACAAGGCTTGGACAAGCACTCCGGACAACCTCGACCCTCGCGCCAACGAATTCCGCGCTAGCCATGAGCTGCGCCGCCGCAGCTGAGGAGGAGGTGGAGCGGAGGAGATCGGTGGCGTAGTCGCTCCAGAGGGCGTGGAGAGCGCGGAGCGTAGTGGGTGGGACGGATTTGGGAATTTGGTGGATTTTTTGAGCGCGTTTTTGGGTTGCTGTTAGGGGTTTTGATGGCGGCGCGGGAGGAGGGGGAGGGAGGGTATTTGGGTGGAGATGCAGGGGTTTGTAAGTTATCGAAGAGTGGACTTCTGAGGTGATGGCTGGGGAGTAGGCGGATGAGAGGAGGGTGTTTAATGACATTTTTTTCTTGTGGTTGCCGGTGGTGGTGTCGCGCCGCCCGACTGCTTGCTTGCTAGAACGGGTGAGGTGGGGATGGAAGGAGAAATGAATAAAGATAGCGAACTAAATTTACACTATCAGATGATACCAGACCCTGTCCCGAGGTTGAGATAAAGTTTGGCGGATCTTGGCGTGCATAACCCACGTGGAATATGCTTATCGATAAGGTGGCAGATTCAAAGTATTCAATGACGTTAAAAGCCCAGTTTTCTCAACTTTTTTTTATTTTGTTAAAAGTACTATGACTGGCATTGCAGTCGTGAATAGGCGGTACATAGACTTAAAGTACAAGATACATGAGGTGGGCTATAACACATTTGAAGGCTTCTAGTAATAACAGATTTAAAGAGAAAGCATAATTACCGCCCAAACATAAGACATGTATAAAACAATGAGTCCGCCGCCGCTAAACAAGGAAAATTCACCAAACCTCATGAGAGCCTGAGGCTAGGAATGTGAAACAAAGCAAACAAGACCGACCATGCTGCTTTGGATATGGGAACGAGAGTTACTCATCCCCCTTTTGAATGGCATAGCAGATGTGGTTTAATTTTTGATATTATTCACGTCAACCCAATTTCCACCGGTACCGTAGATATCTTCCTGGTAATCCTGGAGATTCAGGATTTCGCCGATGCTGCGACTCTCCTCGAGAACTTCGCGGGCCCTTTTTTCAGTGATTTTCATGTCCTCCATGATAAGGCGGACGGCCATCTCAGGGACGAGAACAGCCTGAACGAATGCCGCAGCGCTACTATGAGCCAGGTTAGATGTTTCATTATTGCGCGTGGTGATTTCATTGCCAAAACGGCGAAGCAACCAGTGTAGCCTATTTAGCTTGTTAGCAAATATATCCAAGATATATGCCAAAGAATAGTTCCGACAAAGCTTACATGATGTTGGCCCCGCGAGGGCCGTAGTATCCAGGATATTGCAAGCGATGATCTTTTTGAATGAGGAGAATGGGATTGCCTCTGACATCCTTCTCTTGCTGCTTGAAGATGGCCATGAATGGGGATTCAGTTTCTCCGTGTACAATGGCTTTGATAGGCTTGTAGTGGGTTTCGATCCTCTTTTTCATTCCCTTCCAATCGATTTCAGGGTAACCCCTTTCCATCCATTCCTCTCTCAAAGACACCGCTTTATGCTCAGTACAAATGTCCATCCACTCGAGCATCGGTATATGGCCTTCGCTGAAATTCCCGTTTTTCCAGGTATCGAGGAAACCGGTAGGTAGAGGTTCGTTACATCCCTGGCATACACCCTTCTCAGCACCCGGCGGGGGCGATTGCGCAAGATTGCGTCCCTCAATTGCCGGTCCCGGTGACTTGCTCGAAAGATCATCATCTCCATCAAGATCATCATCCGAAAGTCTCTTAAGACTGACTTCCCTCATAACACCGAAACCTATGCCCAAGTCAATAGCAAATCTCAAGGCGGATGTAAAACACGATTTCTTACCAAACTTCTCACGGGGATTGATGAATGAGGATTCCGCCACAGCCTCTTCGTCCCCCTCTAGAGATAGGTCGCCATCACGCTTATGTGTTGCAAGGAGTAGGCGGCTAGATCTCTTTGAAGTCTTATCCTTACGTTTTCCCACACGCGGGGCAGCTGTAGGCGTAGTCACCGTTTCTGACTCCTCTTGAAGTTCCTGTTGGCGTTTCTCGGCCCGGGACAACGCACGTGCGAAGGCTGCGATATCTCGTCAATAATTATCCAAACAATAAAGGGAGGGCATATCTATATTACACTCCCTCTGCGACAACCTTGGCTTTAACTTGAACGGGGCTACATTTCAGTTAGAATGATTCTTCTGGGGGCTTTGGGGAAAGGCATACGATGAGATTTCATAAGCTCTTTAGCATACGGGATAGTGCTATATCCACCCTTTCCGTTTGTACCATAAGTTGCCTTCTTGAAAGTTACCGGGCGCTTTCCTCCTCTCTTTTCTTCTCCAGTCTTCCAACTGGGGACGGGGGGTGCCTTAGCCTTCCCTCCGGTAGGCCCGCAAAGGCTATCATCGCCGTTAGTGGGGTCAGTGTTAACTAGCGACGGCGTGTTGGATCCATTATCGTTTGAAGGATCGGCTTTCTGGGGAGAATCGCCATCGATCAAAATAGGGGAAGACCTGCTCGACGACGGCAAAGGCGACAGCGGAGACGATGAGGACGATATGGTGTCCCCCGAGAGAGAAATAGAGGTCTTTTCTTCGCCGACAACACTATTATTAGGGGGTTCAAGATCCCTTCCAAGAGACCTCGATCTACTCCTAGAGAGCCTCTCGGCCAACATGCCCTGAGCGCTATCATGGTAATCCAATGAGTCTGCGGTTTGTGTGTAGTCGAGACGTCTCTTCTTCTTATGCTCATCGCCAGGGCCGTAGGGAACAAAGAAGCGTGGGGCTACAGAACCATTCTCATTAGTATTTGTGGAGAGAACTGAAACGGATTTTCTGGTTAAGGTGCGTCTCGCAGATCGTGTTTCGGCAATAGTTGGCGCATTTAAATTCGACAATGGATCATCAGATTGAGGGGATTCCGTACTTATTACCGTGCCAGTGTTAACGGAGGTAACATGGAGTGGTGAATGAGGTGGCGATCTAATGGCGTAGGCGCTGGAAAACTGAGAGTTTGCACGAATTCCGGCCGGGGTGCCACCCTCCCCATCCTCGTCGCCAGGTATCATGTAAGTTTGACGTTTACCCCTTCCTCCGCCGAACTTCGGACCAACTTCCATAAAGATAGGCTTGGTGATCCTCGGGCGTTTGAGACTTTTTTCACCTCCAGCGGAGTACGTGGAGGTGGTTGATGGCTTGATTCCGGTGGATTTGCGAGTTAGAGGCATTGTAGCCGAGATGAGAGTGGAATTGGAGGAAAGGTAGAAGCGAAGTTGAAAGTTACTAAAAATGCTTGAGGGAAAGAGAGTCGTGAGGTAGCAAGGTGTAGAAATTTTCAGGTGTTGGTGTCGGTGTGGGTGTTGGTGGGGGAGAGTTAAGGAGGAATGCGGGAGCCAGCTGAAGGAAGGGGGCGGCTGAAAAAGAGAGCCAATGGGGGTTTTCGTGGGAAGAAAGGGCAAGTAAATAAAAGCCCCTCAAAGATTTCTATTTTCGGCCGTATCTCACCATAGAATGTCGAAGGCGTTGTGGAGACCAAGGTAAAGATGGTTTAGTGGGTGAAGGAGGGGAGGGTTGCATAGATGAGGAAGATGGATACAGTGTCATACTTGTAGAAGGATGGAAGGTGGAAGCAAGCAGCCCTACCATAAGCTAGTTACGCCTGCAAGCCTGTCCATTTGCTTGGCAGCAACACGGTTCCTCGCCGGTCCGCCCCGCAACCCACAATACGGGTCCGGACTCACTTCTTGACCCACTCCAACATCTACGATACGAGTATCATACTCGAGTGCTTGTAATTCGATGTTCTGCAATTTTCTTCTTCATAGACTGTATCACTTTTTGAGATATCAGCAACGAAAGTTGAGAAGCTGACCTCTATTGGTTCATGAGTGGTATTTTGTGCTTGGAGCAACCACGCAACCCCGGTGAGTGAGACCGCTTGCACAATACGGTACTCTGCTGTCGCAGATGTTTTTTTTCTTGCACGTACATATAGTACTCTTAGGAATATAGCACGAGAGTAGAGGTAGGGTATCAGATAGAAAACTTTTGGCTATTATACAGCCGTCTACAACTGTGACATCTACACCTAAGAACTACTATACGTCTCTAACATCCATTATTTTTTAGCCCTGCTTTTCAAAGAATGCACCAGCCTCTTGAGCTCATCCTCACCCTTTCCGCCCTTATCCGCCTTGTCCACCTTCCGCCTCTTCCTCTCACCCTCACCCTCCTCCCTGTCATCATTCCTCTTCTGCGTCCTATTCCTCCTCTCCTCTAAAAGTTTACTCATAGCCTTTGTCTTCACAAACCTTGGATTTGTTGGATCAATTGCAAACTCATGCTTCTCATAAACAGCCGCGAATCTGGGATCCTTAACATCGATTTCGAACCCGTCTTGTATTCCCTCGGGCTCGAACTCTGCCTTTCTACGCCTGCCCTTCTTGCCCTTCTTTTTCTCAGCTTTGACAATCTGCTTCATGTCGAAGTGGTAGAGCTTCTTGCCATCGGTGTCCACGTCTTCGCCCGTCATTAGAAGCTCTAGTTCCGCGCGTTTGGATGCGTTTTTGGCAGCTTCAGCAGATTTTGCTTCTCGGTCCTTGCGCCTCTTTTCCTTTTTCTCAGCAGATTTTGAAGCCGGGGCGTCGTCGAAGAAGGGGTCATCGAAGCCTAGGTTTGTGATTATATCTCCAGCTTCTTTCTTTTCTATTATATCCTCTGCATTTTTGTTTTCGAACTTGTCGCCCTTGCCATCCCCTTCCCGCGTGGCTTTCAGCCCTTCCTTCCGGCGTCGCCTTCGTTCTTTCTCTTTTCGGGCGTATTTGGTTATTGTGGTTTCCTCTTCTTCATCTTCCTCAATGACTTTTCGGTCTTTGGCCTTTTCGCTTAGCCCTGATGTAAACGTCACTTCCATGTCGCCTACTAGTTCGGCTTTGTCCTTTTTTCCGAAACCAGTCGCGGATAGCAGGGCTCGGTATTTATCCTTTGCTGCCTCACGAGCTCCAGACTCAGATTCGCTGTCGCTGGAGGCTAGATAGTCCTTTAGGTCCATGTCTTCTAAATCCCTCTGGGAGAAAGCACGCTTGGTAGCAAGTTTTCGCTGTTGATCGTCTTCATCCCAGGTTAGTTTGACTTTAGAATGTTGGAGTGCCTGGAAATATAGGCATTAGTGGCTATGCATGATATCATGATGTCGAAGACGTACGTCTGTGGAAAAATCAACAGGCTTGTAGTTTGCCGGAACTTCGACACACCTGTCTTGGGGCTTATCGTCTTCAAAAGATGTTTCATCTGGGATAAATCGGAGGTCAAAGAAATTTGCAGTAGCTTCATATTCTGCGCCATCGCACTGCTCATAAATGTATCTCGCAGTCTCCAGGGAATCGCATTCTACTACTGCATAGAAATACCTATTACACCCAATTAGCTTATTCATAACTTCCACAATTTAGACGATATCATTAAAACAAACCTTAATCTCTCCAACTGGTAATTCCTCAACTTGCTGCTATCGAACTCCTCTCCCTTATCCTCTTTAATAATGGTTTTCTCGTCGACCTCCTCGTCTAAATTGCTGTCCTCATCATCACTACTAATAACCCTGGCTTTACCCTTTGGTTTGAAAATCTCTGTAGGTGGCCCCTCCATCTCCTCTCTTTCCATTCGCTCTTTACCAAACTCACTTGGATAAACTGTAACACTAACAATCCTTCCACCCCCGGTAACAAAGCTCGAGAAGGTCTTTAAAAGATCCACTGCCTGAACATTATCCCAGTCTAAATTCACGGCCGCAAACCTCTTGCTAACCTCTCCCATGGGGATCTCCCTCTGACATTCCACCTGAGCTCTTGCCGCTTCCTCTTCCGCCTCTCCGACTTCTTCGTCTTCCTCATCACTAGATTCTTCCGAAGTGGAAATTACACCTTCGCCTCTTGCTGGGTCGTATACTCGTGCTTGCTCTTCATCCTCATCTTCCTCGTCGGAGATGTGGTAGTACCGTTTGATTTCCTCCTTCCCTGCGTCTTTTCCAATATTGCGACCATATCTGTCTACGCTTGCTTTCTCCGCAAACGACCTATCCTTGTACATGCGCTCGAAGCGCTTGTCGATCTTGAGTTTTGCATCTTTGCGGCGGGGGAGGGCGAAGCGGGGGTCATTATGGACTGAGATGAATCGCTCGTCGGCTATTGATAGTTTAGTTATGGAATTCAACTCTAAAAAAGACCCACTCTTGAGGTTGAGAGAGAACTAGGAGGGAACAAACTTGTCACAGGAACTTTTGGCTCATCAGAGAACTTCTTCCGATGTTTGTCTTTAGCCATCTAAGTTTGAAAAAATCAATTGGCGATAATCGGACTTGCAGGGAATGTTATTGTGGGGAGACCTTCAATTTAAGTTGTGATGAGGAAGGTTTTTTTTTTTTCCTATCTGTTGCCGGCACCTGAAGACCTGCAACCATGCCAAGCATTTCACATCGCACTCCGATTCCGTGTCATAAAATATTTTTTTCCCTTCCCCGAAATTACATTCCGCTATTACAACACCCTTACCAACGTCAATTCTTTGATAACCTGCAACAATGGGCCGCATAAAGAAATCAACTCGCAAGTTCGAAGCGAAGCATCTGAAAAAAACACTCGAAGATAGAAAGGCTCACGTAAAGGTAAAACAACGACACCAACTCGCTGAGAAGCGCAAGAAGCGAGTGGACGGAAACGCCGACAAAGATGCGGAGGAGAAGGAAATAAAGAAGTCTAAGAGAAAAGATGACGATGTGGAGCTATTCGAGGATATGAGCGTCGAGCAATTCTTCCAGGGTGGATTCGAAGTTCCCGAGACTGAGAAGGAAAAGAAGAGGAAGAGGAAGGAATTGAAGAGGAAGAGGGGCGAGGCAGAGGAGAAGGATAATGGTGAGGTGGAAGAGAAGGGGGAGAGTAATGATGAGTTGGAAACTCACAGGGCAGATTTATCTGCGCTTGCGGAAAAAGACCCAGAGTTTTTCAAATATCTTCAGGAGAACGATTCCGAATTGCTGGACTTCACGGCGGCAGAACAGGATGGTCGTTCTGGCATTGACATTATGTCTGAAGGCGAGAGCGAAGACGAAGCGCCCAAGAAGAAAAAGAAAAAGAAGCCTAAGAAGAGTGAAGGTAAAGAGCTAGCTCAGAACGACATTGCAGGTTCGAGTATCGAAGTTACATTGAGAGATGTGGAAACTTGGAAGAGGGCACTTGTGGAGGAAAAGAGTCTACGTAGTCTCAAGAAGGTGGTTTTGGCATTTAGGGCTGCGGTGCATGTTAGCGACGTTGGTGACAATGATAGTGGGTGCAAGTACACCATTACTGATGCCAATAGTATGTTGTCATTATTTAGTTTGGTCTTTGTGATGCTAATTAGGACAGTTTATCATGAACTCTTGGTTTTGGCGCTAAAACATGTTCCTGATGTACTCAACCATCATCTACCAGTGAAGGAGAGCGCATCGGGGAAGATGTAAGCACATATTTTGTGTTTTGAGATGAGCGTGGCTGATCGTGCTACAGTCGTATTGCCAGCGACACCAAAAAATACCGCTCAATGAGCCCACTACTCAAGTCTCACTCGGCATCCTTGCTTCACCTCCTTCCTACCCTTACCGACGCTCCGACTCAAAAGCTACTCCTAAACTCTACAGTTCCTTTAGTCCCATATTTCCTATCCTTCCGAAAATTCCTCAAGGCGTACATCAAGGCTGTCGTTGATATCTGGGCTGCAAACAGCTCAGATGAATCTACAAGAATCACAGCGTTCTTGGTTGTCCGCAGAGCTACTGTGATTGGAGATGACGGGTTGAAGGAGATGTGTCTTAAGGCGCTTTACGCCGGATTTGTTCGTGCTAGCAGACAAACAAGTGGATATACTATGCAGGGAATTAACTTGATGAAGAACTCTGCCCGTGAAGTTCTTGGACTGAATAGTATGGACAAAGTCGGGTATTCTGCTGGGTTTGGATATATCAGACAATTGGCGATACATCTGAGAAACAGTATTACCAATAACTCAAAGGTTTGTAACGGTAACTTACTAACCACACATTACCATCTGCTGACCCACAAAACCCAGGACTCTTACAAGACTGTCTACAACTGGCAATACGTCCACTCCCTCGACTTTTGGTCCCGTGCCCTTTCAGCTCACTGCGACGGATTCAAAGAAGCTGAAGCGGGCAGAGAGTCCCCCTTGCGGCCGTTGATCTACCCATTGATCCAGGTAACCCTCGGCGCCATCAAACTCATCCCAACGGCTCAATACTTCCCCCTGCGCTTCTACCTCCTTCGCTCCCTCCTCCGTCTCTCAAGAGCAACAGGAGTCTACATCCCCCTAGCCTCCCTCCTCTTTGAGGTCCTCTCCTCAACCATCTTCAAGAGGAAGCCTAAGCCATCGACCCTCCGCCCCCTAGACTTCAGCACAACCATCCGCGCGCCAAAATCCTACCTGCCAACAAAAACCTACCAAGATGGCGTTGGCGAGCAAGTCGTAGAACTCCTCTCGGAGTTCTTTGTCCTGCACGCCAAATCCATCGCTTTCCCCGAGCTGGCCATACCAGCCATTGTCCATGCCAAGCGCTGGATTAAAAAGTCCTCCGTAGTCAGCCTAAACAACGCGCTCAGCGTGCTCGCCGGGAAACTAGAGGCGAATTCAAAGTGGGTGCAGGAGAGGAGGAATAAGGTCGAGTTCGCGCCCAACAAGACTGACATGGTAGATAAATTTCTTGACGATGTTGCGTGGGAGAAGACCCCGTTTGGGGCGTACGTACTCTCGCAGAGGAAGGTGAGGGAGGAGAAGAGGAAGATTGTTGAGGAGAGTCTTAGGCAGGAGAGGGCGAGGAGGAGAGGTGGGGATGGTGACAGTGAGAGTGGGGATGAGGAGGGGCATCTTTCGGTTGAGGAGGAGCAGTCTGAAGATGAGGATATGGAGGATGTAGAAGACGAAGATGAGGGTGCAGACGACTCCAATGACAGTGATGCTTGAGTTTGTAACATAGTGGGAGGGGGACAACGAATAGTAGACTAAACCAAATTTGGCGTTTGCCATCAAAGCTTTGGTCTGTTGTTCGTCGTCCCCTTTGTTCGTTGTTGTTCTCCCTACCATAGTAGATATCTATACTAATAGTGCCTAACATATCTCAGTAGCCAGTTTACGCTCAGTCCCGTTTTGATAAAATTACGCCGTAATTTCGCTACCGTAGCTACAAGTATGAACGAACGCTTAAGCCCTCCCCGCGGCCAAACCCCCACCTTCCGCACGGGGTTGTACTGGTAAAAACCCAAGCCCAGCCCAACTCAACCCCCATACAAAACAAACAAGAGAAAAAAGAAAAAGAAAATTCAAGCTTTATCGATGCTCTGAAACGGATTTGAACCGTTGATCTCGTCATTACTAGTGACGCGCCTTACCAACTTGGCCATCAGAGCTACATATCTATTCTTGCCTTTTATCATTCTGGAGTCAACAAACTAGTTAGCGACAACGGTGCCCACACGGGAGCAAGACGCCAATCAATTTTCTCACAAAAGGGACTTAAAATTTATGATATTTGTATCGCCGCAGGGTACAGTGCCCACTGCCAGCTACTGAGATCGAGTGATGGCGTGTGAAATGTGGATTCTTTGTCGTGGGGCAAGGACGGATAGTGGGGATTTTCAGTTCGTTCGCGAGTATATATCATGGGGGGGGGGGCGGTTTGTTTGTATGTTGATGGGGAGTGGGCTCGCTCTTTTGGAGTGGCTGGGTGGGTGGGACTTATGTATGAATTTTTGTGCTTATTTCTGGGAGGGGATTTGTGAATACTGTTGTGGTTGGGTAGTTGTATGGGGATCTCGTAGGGGGGGGTTTAAAATCATAAATACGAGGAAGTCCCTTCGGTAGAGTTTAGTACTTTCTCCAGGGCATAGATCTATCTTATACCATAGAAGATGTGTCTTATAATGGTAAAATCACAGTAGCATGCTAGTGCGTATCATACTTTTACCCTCCTACTTGAAACTCTGTTCATGCTCCCGTTAGTCTAGGAATCTACCCCCTCTACAACTCACCCACCCCCCCCCCTCCCCCCAATCGCCCATTCCGGGCAGTACCAGCGAGGATCTCATCCATTAACGATGCCACCGCAAGCATGTTCTGCCTCGCGGTGACAAGGTCCCCACCCGGCGCTCCATAAAAATATTCTCCACCCTGCGATATCAAGGATCCACACATGACTGCGGGGCCCCGCATCCTGGGGACGCCTGACAAAATCCAACGCGACTAAGGATGGGGGTTCTTTGGCGGGGATGTGTGGCTCACAACCACTCGTGAGGGGGCTAGCCTCGAGAAGGAATGATGGGTCTTTTAAGACGATTTACGGATCGGCCATTACGGAAGATACCTTGTCCGACCGAGCGAGGGAGGGGCGGAAGGGATATTACCTGCTGGACACGAAATCACGTAGGTAGGTGGTTTTCCCCCGGAATGAAAGGTGGCTGGAAGTTCTTGCGGGGATATTCCGGGATTCTCACATAGAGGCGCACGCGAATGAGCTTGGGGTTGGGTGCTGTGTTGAGAGGATTCGCGTGATGGCTTCCCGTGGGGATGTGGGGGCTTATGCTATTAGGATCGGCCCGTCGCTAGATGTTATCTGGGACGGGCCGACTAGGAGGGGAAGTATTAGTTGTGCTTAGACGAAGGTAGAACAGCTATGCGGAGGCGCTCGTTGGGGAGGTATGCGGGAGGCTGTTGCTCGACCGGGGGTTGGGGTATTTGGTGTTGTTTGATAGAGTTGGTGAGGCTCCTCCTGAGAGGATCTAGAAGAGGATCGGGCGAGGGGTGGATGAGGGAGAGGAGGGGATTACACAGGCGGATTTAGAGAGAGTTCTTTTTTCTTTCGGTATTGTCTTTTTCTATAGGATGAAGAGGAAATATAAGTTCATACCGATATATAATGAGGAGGGAGAACAGATACCCCCCATTGCCGTTTGCGATAGTATGCGATGCAGCTACATTCTCGCATGGAAAAAAACTCCAACTCCAACTCAACTCCCTTCCCACTGTAATGCCCCCCACCATCATGAATTCGCCTCAATCTCAGCCCACTTCTGCACAATCTCTTTCTTCTTATCCTTTGCCGCCTCCCTATTCTTCTTGGTCCGCTCAAGCCTCTCAGCCCGCAAACACATATTCAAATTATGTTTTGCCCCATTGCACATCCCAATGGCCTTCCACATGAATCCGCGGGCGTGGCATTCCTCTAGTATTCTCGTCACCTCGGCGCAATTGCCTTTTTTCCCAAGTTAGCCAACAGTTGTCCCTTCGAACGCGAGTAAAAGGGATAGGGGAAGGACCCTCGCTGTCGGTTCTGTTCAAGTGTGGATGCATTGCGGGTGGTAGTGGGAGGGGGAAGATCGGGTGGTTGGTTTGGGTTTAGAAAGGTTTAGTTCAGTACTCGTAGTTGAAAAATTTCGGAGTGGCGAATGGCTTGGCAACGGTCGGGTTGGTGCCGGAGTGGCGGGGAGGTGTTGTCACAAAGTGAACGGGATCGGCCACAGTTGTGGAACGAGACACTTGCCAACCTCCGGCTTGATGAGTGTTATAGCGAGTAAGTGAACAGGATCAACCACAGTCATGGGATGGTGCACTTGCTGACCTCTGGCTCTCTGGGTGTTGTAGCAGGTAGACTAAGTAAAGCTGGTCAACCATTTAGTCTACTTCCTACAACACTCAGCGAGCCAGAGGCTCGTCCCATGACCATGGTTGATCCTGTTCACTTACTCGCTACAACAACTCATCGAGCCAGGGATCGGCGATTGTCTCGACTCGGGGGAAGGTGGAAGAGAGTGATATTAGATAGGGAGGTGGATAAGGGTGCCATGGTAGGCTGGGTGGATTAGAGGGCAAGTGGGGGGTTCTGAGATGTTTTCCGACGGAATTTTTTGAGCAGGCGTGTATGATAGGAGCAGTGTTTTAGGGACACTTTGTCCTGAACGTCAGTGTTCTCGAGTGTGCGCAGTGGACGAAGGTGATCTAAATGAAATAACTTTGTTCAAATGAGAGAATAATGATAATCATGGTTGCTTGTAGCCTCGTTTTATTCTCCCTCTGTATATCAGGAAAGACAGAAGTAATTATATCGAAGCATAAGAAATTCCCAAACCACCTCTTGTTCTCCATAGGACCCTCTGATTTCCCATAGCGTTTTAACACACAATAAGGGGAGAGGACATTCTCCGAAATCCTCGATAACAGAAAAAAAAGATCAAATCAAGACTCCCGCTCTCCAGAGCTTTCCCACTGATGTCATTACCATGCCGCAGTATCTTCTACTACCATCTCCATAAGTTAGGCCCTATGCTCTCAACTCCACTCTTCAACACTCGTGCAAGCATCACCTTCAAGCACCCCCCAGCACCGAAATGGTTCGAATTCCGGAACAAATATGCGTATCATCACGAGGAAAATTAAGTGCAGTGCTGTCAGTATGTCCTTTTTGTGCTGGAATGTCTGTTTCTTCTTGCTCTTTGGGTATTAAATTTCTCATTATTTGGCTCGATTTTATCCATCTTTCATCTATTTACCATACATCCCGCACCCAACCTAACGACCTTCCCGCTATCCCCCGGCATCTAAGCACCCGCATGAGCCAAGAAGGCTGCGGCAACGCCACCCCAACTCCCAGGGTTGTTGAACTGCTTAACGATGTTTCCACCATCAACGATCAGATTCGTGAACAAATGCGTGTTGACGTTATACCAATAAAGGCTCTTCGTCCCGCTGACAACCTCCGCGGCATTCGCCTGACAAACACTGCTCTGGCAACAGCTCGCCTCACATCCACCACTGCCGCCGTACCCATGTCCATCAGCAAATGTGAGCCCATTGAAGAAGACCCAAAAGCCGGAGCCATATATGTAGATGTTTGAGCCACCGCTAATGCGCTGTGCCCACCCCATTCTGCATTGTGCATCGCCGCCACCGCAACCGGAAAAGTTGGGGTCTGAGTATGCGCTGTTGACGGCCCATGGAGTTGGGGCGGATATGGGCGCACCGGGGCCTTGCCAGTATGCGGTTTCGGTTTGCTGGAAACTAATGAGGAGATTCTGGGCGTCCACAATGTTGTATTGGTAGAGGGTGTTGTGCTCGAAGGCTGTGCCGATCATCCAGGTTGCTTTCGTACTTCTGATTAGGGCTCCACGGCCAGTAGAAATGACCTGTGGTGGACCGCCGTCGAGAGAGTGATCGGCTGTCCAGCCCCACATGTTCTCAATGTAAGGAGAGCCGGTGGTAGTAATGTGCAGCATGAGGAAGGTGGCTTTACAAGCACTTGCATCAGGGCCGGCACAGTTAGTGTTGACCTTTGTATCCACGGTTCCTCCGATACGGAAATGCGTGTTCCAGAAACCGACGTCACCGGGGGAGTTTCCGGCCATGTTGACCTCCATGAGGATTGCGCCATTGAGGACATCGGCTGTTGTGATGATCATGTCTGTGATTTGAGCTACACCAACTTCGCCTGCGTTTCCAACTCGTACCACAACGTGGGGATTGTTCGCGTCCCAGAACTTGCTACCAACGGCACTGATCGTCGACCAGACATCGCCCACAATCCTTGTTCCCGGGGGAATGTAGATTGTGTCGTGGACGAGATAGGTTCCCTGAGGGAAGTAGACGATCTTGCATCCAGCGTTGGCGAGCAGGATTGCGTTAATAGTAGCAGTGTCATCGGTCACACCGTCTCCCTTGGCGCCTTGATCCTTAACGTTCACAAACTGGTCATTTCCGTATTGCTGATATTGAGGTTGGGGCATGAGGAAGTACTTTCCGTTCGGAGCTAAGAGGGATGGCGAACGTGGAGTAGTGTAGTAAGTTCCACCTTGGTAATCTCCGGGGTTGGCATTTCCCATGACCCAGGTGTTTGATACACTACCAGAAACCAGAGTCTGACCGCCATTACTCTGAGCGACAGTGGCACCGGAGTTGGTGCTTACGAAATTTTCAACCACCAATGATCCTGCGCCGTTGCCCGTCTTGAATGCGTTCACCACGACGCCGACTGAGCTCGCTGAGGAGTCAATGAGAGAGACGGAACCTGCAACTCCGTTCCCACCCATGTCGATACCGGTACCGCAGTTCGTGAAAGAGGCATCTTGCACAGTAAGGAAGAAGACATGGGAAATAGCAATAGCGGTATTACAACCATTGAATTTCAGACTCTTGAACATGTATTGTTGATTGTTGAGTCTAATGCCGATTGCGCCACCGGTGAAAGACTGGTCAAGCGGTCAGTGATCAACCACATTCCCACACCAAATAGAGGAGAACGTACTAAATCACTCAAAATGGTCCCAGATCCACCGCCCGTGCTCCCACCATCCATAGTGATACCAACATGTTGGGAGAAGTTCGGCATACTGAAGTCCACATTGTATAATTGGGTAGCCTGCGAAACGGGCCAGTTCAGTGCAAGAGCAGGAGTATTGACACCGATGGCAGTGGTATCGAGTTTGATGTTCTTAATTCCTATGAAGAAATTTGTAGTAGAAACAAGGAATCTGCTTGAGTCGAAACCATTTATAATCGGGTTGGAGCCAAGGTTCGCATCTGCCTTGAGCACCGGTTTATTAAGCGGGTCTCCAATCATCATAGTGCCGACAAGCATCCTGATGCTGTTTGAGATCTTGTAGGTCCCACTCGGAACGTAGATGAGAGCTGGCGCAGCTGTCTGCTGGAAATTGCTGGACCGGCTCCATGCTATCGTAGATGTGAGCTTTCATTGATCCCGATTTCACGGGAGCTCAGAGATTTACCATCAATGGCGAATTGAAATGCGCCAGAGTCATCAGTGACTCCATCACCCTTTGCTCCATAAATCCTCACATTTCTGTAGACCTGATATGTGGGGTCCGAATTGAACGGCGATGCGCCATTGAGGTTTACTGTCTCTCGCCAAAACTTTGTTGGGTTGTTGGGTGTGAGGGTACAGGCAGCTTGGATGAAAAACTGGTTGGCCGCATCACCCACGGTAATGTTCGTGTCAGGGGCTGGGATAGGAGGGTTCTTCTCAGTCGTGTTTGTGTTCCCGGGATATGGGACAACTCTGTGAACAGATGTTCGCTCAACAACAGCCCGGCAATGGATTTACGATTGGAATGTAAGGTGGAACTTACGAGGGTTCTTTAGGGGCATAATTGAACAAATTCTCGAACTCTGCCGTTCCATTCAAGATAGGCTTAACAGCTGAAGTGGGTGCAGGTTCAAGGTACTGTGCAGCAACAGTTCCCAAGATCGCGGCCAAGGAGAAAAGACCTCTCATAATGAGTGAATGGTGGAAAGAGAGAAAACAAGAGATAGAATCACTGCAGTCAAGAACCGCAAGTGGGGCATTTCATAGTGACCGAAACGGCGAGATGAAATAGAGAATTTTTTTCAAGTCTTAGAGCGATTCAATGTCTGCATGGTTCTACCAATAAAGCGTTCATAACGCTCCTGTCCCCGTGCTCACCATTCAACGTTGTGCTCCAGCCCAACCGTGACTTGCGACAGGACGATTTCCACCACCCCCTGGTAGCCGTCTGATTAGTAGAGCCAATAAGGTATTCTCTAGGCGCCCGTAGTCATCTCTCTGGGTGAGCGGGTGTGCTGAGGCATAATCCATGTTTGCTGTGTGTAAGCAAAGAGCGGGGGGGATGTTGCTTGTTTTCACCACTCCTGGAATTCACTATCATGCATAGCTGAGCCGTGTTCAAGGCGAGCAATCCGTGAAGGCTCCCAATTAATCTAAACTCGCGGGGGGTGACCCGCCAATCCGGTTAAGGTACAATACCCGTCGACATTCTTCCGTTGAACACCCCTTCTATGAGTATGATCCGTTACTCGACCCGAGGCTGGCAGGCAAAAGCTATGTTCATGAGTCCATGCTGAGTACCGGTACAGTACCGTACCAATCCAAGTATAACCTGCGAAATCTCGTACTGTAGTACGGTAGTCTATGAGGCAATAACTGCTCCATCAGTAATCCCGAGTTGATCCGGCCACAAGCTTATCTTACCCTCTAGACGAATGGTATGCGGTGCCGATGGGGAGACTGTTGCCGGTAGGGGACTCCTCTCGGGAAGTTTTGAATGATATGAATGGCCAGCAGCGTAGTACAGTACAAAATCAAGGTCTACATACCGGCACTCCGATAGGACTCTGATATTAAGATGCTCCAAAAGAGCATCTGACTCCGTAGGGCCAATATATTCGAACAGTTCACCTGGCGCATAACAACTATTACCAATGATATGTAAAGGGTGTTGTGTCGCAGCCCCGCTGCTGACATGACGGTGACAAGATTGCCCCCTTGAAGAGAAAACTTCGGCAACTACTCGTACAGTATCATACAGTTGGCTTTTAGATCACCCATACTTGTAACTACCAGCCTTCCTCAGCCACAGTGGATAACGCGGCTCTAGGCGAGGGTTCCGATTCAATGCCTGTTATCCAGTACCGGTATTGCGCCAGGAGGGGTTCTTGATGCTAAAGCTGACTGCGCCTTCGTGGCGGTCCCATCTGATCAGCTTATCGGGTAGATACTGTATCATCTGTGAAGGACAATAGAGAGCTGTTTGATCCTAGAGACTTAATCTCCCCTCTTCTTGGGGACGAATGGGGGATACTATTCTTCGCTTTTTCCCCTAACAAACCCCTTGGGACATATTAGGGGGAATACCGGAAGGTTCCCCTGAGAGGGAATCTCAGCCTCTTTAGGCATTAGTAGTGCCCTCCAACGGTACTGCGCCAGCAGAAGTTTTTACCCCTCATCGTTCCTAAAGCCAGAAGAGAGACAAAGGTGACAGGTAGTAGTAACTTGGGTGGCCTTGAGGATCCATCATCTGCTGTGACTGATCCCCCAATCCGAGCGGTCGCACTTTGGTGGGTAGATCAAGACGTTAAATAGTTTGTAGCCTCGGTACCGAGTACTGTACTTTACTGTACCGTACAGCCAAGATTTAACTTAGACTATCATAGTTACTAACTAGCAGTTCAAGTTAATCATCATCCCCTAATCTGTGTGTATCTTTACCAAAGGTAGTACGATAAGTAGCCTATGGTCGGGCAGCTCCTGCTGTGACCTCACCAGTACAAAGCATTTACGAGATTGCCACACTCGAACCGTTCCTACTCGAGTATGATACTGTAATCTCGAAATATTCTACGAGTACTGGATGGAACTAGAAAGCAAAAAAATAGGGTACAGAAGAAGGGATAGAATCAAGTCCAGAAAAATGTTAGCTCGAACATTTACTATTAATACCTCGAAAAGGCAACTCCAACGTTCGGTGCGGCTTGAGGGTCCCCAGGGCATCCCAGGTTCCACTTTTTTCATTAATTACTGGCGCTGCCTTGGTGATTACTTGAACGGAGATAGTCTATATAAGTATAGATCACTAAGCGCTTCTCACCGGGGGGGGGGGGGGGTAATTACAACAGCGGCGCAATGCACAGTACAGTAGCTAAACCTGCAGAAAATAAACACAGTAATCTCCTCAAAAGTTGGCAGTATCATACGAGCAGCATACGAGCGCTGATCACGTTCAAGCTTTCTGGTTGTTTGGGACTATGTGGATGCTAAGACCAGCGTCCTAGCAATATCGCTATCGTATCCTGCTAAAATTTACCTTTTCTTACCCAAGCCTTTCCTTCCCTCACCAGAGGACCTCAATCCTTGCTCTTTTATCATACAACTTACTTGTAACTTGCGCTTTCAGATTAGGCTCTCGGGTTGTGGAGTTATTCCGCTCCACACACACTCTCTCTAGCGACTGAAGGAAACTGTTCAATTGAGAAGGGGTCGATCGTGCTTCTGAGCCACCATATGCTCCCATGTCCTTTAGGAGCATGTCCGAGAGATCGAGTCATAACGAAGAGACGAATTACCAACGGTGGGACCCGAAACATCTTCCATGCCAGGGTGCCAAGTATAATACAGTACTGAGGAAAATACTCTACCACCCAGACCAGTTGGTACGGTTAACTGTCGTTGTATGTCCCGTTCTAAAAAATTTGCGCTTCTGTCAGCATCAGCTGTACGGGTATTTGTCCCTAACTTTTGAACCTGTAACCATCAGCTGACCTTGAATCAGTCATACTTATACTGTGGGGTAATAGCTTGTATTGGTATGGTGTCCAACAGTCATGGACACGGCTGTGATATCATGTATTAGCCTGGGCACTGACTTTTTGACATGCGAAAAGCAATTACGCACGAGAAAAATCGATGATACCGGTAATCGATTATACTTGACCATGCTCGAGCAGTGACCATGATCGATCACTTGATGAGGGTCTGCTAACTTCATTCATCATTCAATCATGGGGTCCTCTCCGTGGAATCATAATCGAGCAGAACTCCCACGATCTGCTAGTGTCTAGTATCATATTAGTATCATAGTATCCGACTGCACCACCAAGCCTTAGCCCTAGATATTTATTCAATGTTATTAGTATGCAATATCGAAATGCCTTACTCGTAGGGTGTTATCCAGGACCCGTTCGACATACCGGTATAGGTACATAGTCCACCAATTCCTACATATTAATGAACTCATCGTGGTTCTCTTTCCTCGCTAGTAATCATTTCCAACCCTAGTGACATCATACCATGCAACACAACCTATAGTGGTATTCACAAATACCCGCCTCTACACACCCACTAAAACATATACGATCTCTAGAAACACAAAGCATGAACTTTGCCCGAATCCCTCTTGAAATGAAACATTGCTTACAATACCTCCCCCGCAATTACCAGCAACCACAGTCACCACGGCTGGACTCATTACTAAACAACTTCGACACCCGGTAACCTGCAGAAGGTCTCCACTTCCCCACCCCGAAACCGATAGCCACACCCACGTGGGTAAAAACATGATTGGTTTCAGCTGCAAGCACAGGACAAAAACGATTCCCTATTACACGATTAGTTGGTTTGGATTATGCCCCTCTGGGATATTATAATATTATTATTGCACCCTCACTGCCGGTGTTACATTAAGCGTCTCTATTGTCCCACAAGGAATAAAGGGTTTCCTAGTAGGATATCGCCGAGTATTAGGCTGCGACGGCTCGAAGGAGAATATCTTAATTCCCCCAAATTATCTAGCACTCGTGGATTTCCACCATTACTCAAACGAAAGAATGATTGGACTCACCCCCCCCCCTGACCGCCACCCCGAGCGCAAGAAAGGTTGTCCAAAATGGGTAGTGGAAAGAACAAGCAAGTACCAACCCCATTCGCGGAGTTCGTACAGGTAAATTTGTCATTTGAGTTTCTAGATGGGTGGTTCCTAGGATAGGCGTTGAATGCTGCAGTGTAATACTGCAAGACCCGGCCCGTGAGATATCGGAAAGCTCTATAGCACTTAGGACTGCCGCCAGAAATATACCTCCAACTTCAGGATTTTGCACTATCTTCCCTCCTCTACTACTCACCCTATCCAAACCTAGTTGTGAAGTTGTGATTCCAATTTGAGAAATTTGACAACCCGATTGAGCGAAATAGGGCGTATACCAGGACTATGAATCTTACTCTCAGTGGCAGCTTCAGGTCATCCGAGGATAGACTGCTAACCCCGTGTGAACACCAATCATCGGAGTAGTGGTTACGTCGTGCGGGGCGGCTGACACTGGGCTACAAGTCTCCAGCAAGAAATGTGAATGCCCTTGGTGAAGAATATCTTGATTGGTGAGCCGGCCACGGTGTGGTTCACTGATAACGATATATTGATATCATACCTCTCGCACACTATTACCCGCGGAAATAGGAGAAGTGTAAATGGAGGTTGAATGCGTATATAAGGGACAACGATAGTCCATGGATTCCTTCCTTCATCGATCTGGCGCTGTTTTTATACATCCCTTCAGGCTTTAGACATACCTACAACCTTTAAGAGTCCCTATATCTATCCATCGGGCAATCCCCTACGACCTGATATGTTGACCAGGGCTGTATGTCTCTCCATAAAACACAGCTTCTTCACAGAGCACTAACTATTTACCTAGTTCGTAATAGCCCCCTTGTTGGCTCTCGCAGTCGGCACCCAAATACCAATTCTCCAAGAAACATCACTTCCCTCCCCACCCACCTTCCCCGAGAACAACAACTACATCATAACCACCGAAGGCACAAAGCCCAACCAAGGCGCCCATGCCCTCCTCTCCGGACCCGGGGTAGGAAGGTTCTTCGCACCCATTAGCGGGATTGGTTCCGAAGTCACCGGGAAAGGGTTAGCATGGTACAACCCGTCCTTCACCGCGGGGAACAGAGGTTACGAGGACCCATCATTCTACTTCTGCTTCAGCGGCATCAAGGAGAACTTCCCGCCCATCGTTAACTGGATGAACTTCCACGACATGTTCAATTTGAACCAAAATACAACCCTGGTGCACTTCGATACCGGTCCGGAGCAAGGCGCTATCTATGATGCCATCGTCCAGGTCTCGCAGGAGGCTAAAGTCGATGCTAGACTCATCCTCGCTGTCATAATGCAAGAGGTGCCCTCCCCTTCTCCCCGTTTCCACTGCGCAGCGCTAACAGCCGCCCGCAGTCCTCCGGCAATGTCCGTGTTCCGTGCACAAACAACGGTATCGAAAATTGCGGTCTTATGCAAGCCTTCACAGGCTCGGTCTCCTACGACCCGAACAACATGGTCGCCTCCATTCTGCAGATGGTCCGTGACGGCACCCAGGGGACGGCACAAGGGCCCGGCTACGTGCAGTGGATCAGCCAGAACATCCAGACCGAGTACGCGGGCGACACCGAGGGCAACGTTTACCAGGCTGCGCGAGGGTACAACTCTGGGCAAATAAATTTCGCAGACCTATCCGATCCTAAGGGTGCTACGGGTTCTTATGTCTCTGACTTGGCGAACAGGTTGCAGGGGTGGAATGGAGCTTCTTGCGGGAATCCCTTCTGGGACAGCTGTAATTTTCCGGAGAAGGCTCACTGCTAGGAGGATGGATCCACGACAGGGAGGATTATAATGTAGAATTTGTAATGTCCAGTTTTCAAGAGATAATTCACTTCAATTCTCACTCCCACTTCCCCCCATCGCGACTATACAACCAATATACGAGCAATACCGGCAGCCCGAGTCAAGCAAAGTAAGAACTCATCACAAATTCTCACTCGCCCAAAACTCCTCCCTTTATAACCAATCCTGTTGAGAAATAATCCTGTGAGTTAACGTACGAGAGCGCACTCTGAGCTTCCTACTCACTCACTATTGTGGATTTCGAGAGGGATGTGGAGGCTGGCATTCCGCGCAATTACTTGCGCTACTAAGATGGGGGTATAGCACATTCATGTATCTCTAAGCTAGGTATGATAGCAAACTCAACTAAAAAACACCTTGAATTCCGCAAAAATCCAAACAAATCCCAACGATCTGAATAAGAATAAGAATAAGAAAAAAAAAACGCTTTCTCTCCCCCACCAATCCGTAATCTCGAAAGCTCTCTGAAGTGCTGATGCTAGGAACCCTCCCCCCCGGCTGCGGTCCGCCAAAATGATGATCCGACCACAACGTATCGTACGTTGCTGGGCTACTGCGCTGGTTAGTGCACAGATCTCGGATTCAACGGGGGGGGCTGTGATTGAAAGGCTTGATTTGGCCTAGCCTAGCCCTGTGAACAGTAGCCTCGGGGAAGGGCTATACGTCGGGCGGTGCGGAAACTTTACACCGAGAGGAGGGCACAGCTAGCAAGACTTATGATAGTAGGAAGGAAAGGGAAAGGAGGAGGATGGTGAAAAATAAGGAATCATATCATAGTCTAACTTGGAGCGTATAGGATGTTATCTGTTTGCTGCTTTTCATTTCCTTTCTTTCCCACCACTCGGGAAGCAAAGAGCCCACCCTGTGACATAACCACTACTCCGTTGGGGTGATTGCCGAAATACGCTCCAACACATGTTTCTAGACATCCTATGATTCCTATGGTTTGGTGGCCATGGGGGGAAATCTCCTACGATTTCAGCGAGGCCAGGACGGTGGGGGGGTGGGCTAGATTGGGATTTTTCTACTACCGCTAGAAATGGAAAAAACTGGGACTCCTGGTCATCTTTCAAGAGCATAGAAAAATCCCAAGTCACCGGCAACTCACAACCTACAGAGAGGCACAGCAGCAGCAAGAATAGTTGTTCTCTACTGTTCTATCCAATTTGCAGAACTTGCCCACAGGCGCCGCAGCAGACATGATATATAAGATGCGCATTAATTCAACCACAACTGGACAGCCATCTTTACAAATTTGTCAAGTAGTCCTCGATTTCTTGGGGGCTCAGTTTCCTGAATCTAGGGCCCTGAGCATGGGCAACTCCTTCGTAGCCCAGCAGATGATCTGCTGGGGGCCCCACAATCCCGATCTCGACAGTGTCTCCAGACATCTCACCCTCGATCTATACCCACCCGATCTATATCAGATGGCTGCTCACAAAAGGCATCATATAGCAGGCAGCAGGGAAACTCACAGTCTCTTTTAAGGTCAACAGGGCAATGTGGATAGCATCTTCCAACTCTAATCCCTCGGCATATCGCTTCTCAAGGAAGGTTTTCGCAGAAGTAGCACTCTTCCCAATGGCAGTCGCCTTCCATGGGAAATAAGAGCCAGATGGATCAACCTAGCGAGAAGGTGTCCCATCTTAGCTTCTCTCTGGGCAAGCTTGAATGATTAATTATATCATACCTGGTATAGCGCTGGGCCACCCTTTCCAGTACCCGCTGGCTTATCGTCCCACCCGGCCACGAGCAAACTAACACCGAAGGGCCTCACACCGCCACTCTGGGTAGCCTCCTGCATAACCTTGGCAACGTCCTGAACCAGTATCCTTGTGGGGGGATATTCGTTGTAGATTCTCTTGTAGTCACTATGAGAGACCTTTCTAGCCTTGTCCGTCAGGACTCTATAGTCCGGTCCCATACCCGAGTAAATCATCCCAATGTTGGGTGTTATACACGATATCTTCTCAAGGGAGGATGAATTCATAAGAGGCGTTGAAGACTTCTTTTCGGTTGCAAGAACGACACCATTGGTAGCTGTTTGATAGGAATAGCTGATTAGACAAGAATCACTAAACAAAAGCCAAAGGGCGCTGGAAGTAGCATTGTGTGTACCTTTGATTCCGAGACTGGTTACTCCTTGGTTAACTGCGTTGAGTGCATATTCTAGATAAACCTCGCCGAATTAGCCCCCGAAATTGACCCACACTACCATTTTCTACCCCACATCCATCTCAAAATCTCCTCGCCATCTCCAAAATCCACCGTCAATCTCCCGACTCCATCGAACCGTAGTCCAACCCAAAGGGGTTTTATAGAGGCTTACCAATCTGAACGAGTTTTCCGCTACGCGCATTCACCTGTTAGCAAAGAACTCAGCGCCTGGAAGTATAGTGGGGCCCCGTACCTAGGGGAGAATGTAGTTAGGGAGAACGAATATCTATCGGCCATAATTAATGTATATCGGGTGTATCAAGTACAAGCCAAGAAGGATGAAATCAGAAGAGATGAGTATGGATGGAGGTGATTATGGAGCTTTTGTGAAGTTGGGGGTAGCTTAAGAGGTGTACTGAGTAGGGTCAATAAATTACCCCACGAAGAGGTTACCCTGTCAAACATCGGTTATCACTCGACTTTCTGACTTTTTGTCATCCATTAAGATATCATAGCATAGATAGCGCAACGGGGTCCCCTACCAGGTGCTTCCCTATAAATTATGAACTTCAAAACTCCCCCGATAATTATTATCATCCAAAACCCATTGCTCTAGCATCAGTCCCGCAGCTTTTCCCGGCTTCAAACATTCTTCACTCCCCCCAAATTCCGCAAGATGAGCTTGTTGCAGCTTTAGAGAATATCCCAAAATTACTTTATATCCAAAATCCCTTTCCTGAACAATCCCCCATCTCATCTAGGGTCCTATAAAGAATCATACCACCCCAACGGAATCCCCATCTCGGCCGCAACGGTCTTTAAAAATGCTGCGACCCCCTCCGCCAGAAGTACTCCCGACCCTTCCTCACTCCTCGTAAACTTGCACACCTGAAAAATCTCCTCCAGCTCATCCCCCAACCCTTGAAACTTTCCATACGGACAAGTGCCCAAATCGACCCCCTCCGTATAAGCGAGTACCAGAACGGAGTATCTATAAAACGCTCGATCGATCCGGAAGAGTTCATCCCCGTCCAATTGATAGGAAGAAAAATTGATGGCCAAATCACGACCATAGCGCTCTTTGTACTCCAGACAGTTCCCGACAAATTCTCTGCGCCAGAGGTCGACCAAGTCCCGGTTCCGGTACAGTTGGTTCATTTCGGGGACTCCAATCTCAGTGCCTCCGTCCATAATCCCGAGAACATCGGCTCCGAATGCTGGACCTAGGGGTTCCCATCCCAGAGAAGACTGTTTCTTGAGAAGCATCAATGCGTCGTCGAATAGTCCCCCCAAATTATTTCTGCAAACAGCCCAGCATATTTCGAATTTGTTAGTTGTCCAGACATTATAGCTCTCCTGATTCCTACCCACCATAGCGCTAAGGGAAGAGTGGTCCGAAACGGTTTTCATTTGAGATAGTGTGTACGCTGAATCCATGGCTTTAGTCTTAGTTGGAGTTGTAGCAAATAGTTGTGGCAATTGGGACAAGAAGACGGACAACCACCAACTTATAAACAAACTTTCAGAGAGGTTCAGAGAGGTATTTTGAAAAACACCAAACTGCCTTGAGCTTCTTTTCAAGTTTGAATTGGATCAGCTAAAGGACTGGGATGGCAGGACCTCATGCCCCAATTGACCTCACCTGGGAGTCAGGTACGTGCCAATAGCATTTAATAATAAAGGGAATTGTCTCTCGCCATAGAAACCAAATATCCTATGGAATTTCTTGGGCTAAGATCTGAATTACGCTTGCTCCACTGGCAAGCTGAGAGACACAATCGTATATCCATCAAATAGGAGTTTCGCCGTTCTGAACAGCAACTTGAAAAATTAGATTTATTGAGGCTCTTTTGCCCTCAAGAAAGTCCTGGGCTGTCCGCTATGATAGCAAAAAATAATCACAACGACCCAAGCCTTCAATAATGCGGAAATCATTTTTCTCCTCAGCTCACAGTCAGGGTATCAGGAGCCTTCTTGCTTCCTTGAAAGTTCATGAACGAACGGTACTGGATTGAGTAGTGAGAGGCTTGTGTCTCAGGACTCCGAAACCTTTCCAGTTACTCGAGTCACGCCCTGTCTCATCTTACTACTGTATGTTTTATAGTACCACCACCACAGTATAAAAACCTGACACTCTCAGACAGCGTTCTCCTATCAAGTTCATCCGGTAACTTGGCACAGTGCTGGTGGGCAAGTTTTGTGGTTTGGGAAATAGGGATAAGAAAGCCACGGCCTAATGTAGTAATCCAGGCCATCCACGGACGACACGATCGAATCTCTGAATGGTTGACTAAGGAGTTTCAATATATCCAGCAAATCTTGAAGGATCACACTAAGTGCTCAGTTGACAAAAGTTCACGAAGGAAACCCCACCATAACATACCATTGTGCCGAAATAATACTTTCTTCTATGTGTTTTCTTTCATCACGGTTTACAACTGTCAGAGCCTAATTAACCCGTTCAACTTGTCATTTTTCGATGCACTGATAAAATATGCAATGCTGTTCTCACTTCAGTCTTCTCCTGTCTTCCGCACTGTGTCTTGAGCTCTTTTTCTATTGCTATAGTATGTTGCTATTTCACTGCGTCAAGTAGTGAGTCCGCTTGACCCCCTCCCTCCCATTGACAATCAAGTTCTTAGGTCTCTCTCCCCCGAAGTCTCCCACATTCAGTACAATCCATTATTGAATCTATGATATGATACATATAACTATGATACTAGGTAATGATGGCACAACACATTCTAGTGGCTTACTTAGCCTCCGGTCCTATCCACTGTGCATGAAGGACTCCCACTTAATAGTGCGATATTAGCGACAAAAGAGACCAGTTGTGCCAGGGTTGTGGCTAGTAGCCACAACTCCCGGATGCTCCGCGCGCTCGCAATCCACTAAGAGCCATGCTGAAAGAAACTGTGGAGGGTGGGTAGGGGAGACAAAATTATGTATCATAAGATATAACTCGTACAGTACCGGTATACAATGGTATTTTTGCTCCCAGTTTGTAGTGTCATCCACAATTTAGATCCGTTTGCAACGGAATTCTTGTTCCATCGGAGGACCCGGTGATCCCGAGCGGCTAGGCCGACCTACGGTTTGGCCTGCAGGTCGACAGTCCGGCCAGTCCGGCCAAGATTTCGAAGAGCCTGGGTCAGTCCGGCTTGAATTTTGTCCGGCCGCCAAAACCTGCAGGCACCCAGACAACCGCCCGGATGTGGGGCTTGGCAGTAGGGGTCAAAGCTGCCAGATGCCCAGGTAAAGCCGCTAGATGCCCAGGTAAAGCCGTCAAATGCCCAGGTAAAGCCGCCAGATGCCCAGGCAAAGCCGTCAAATGCCTAGGTAAAGCCGTCAAATGCCCAGGCAATGCCATCAAATGCCTAGGTAAAGCCGCCAGATGCCCAGGCAAAGCCGTCAAATGCCCAGGTAAAGCCGCCAGATGCCCAGGCAAAGCCGTCAAATGCCCAGGTAAAGTCGCCAGATGCCCAGGCAATGCCATCAAATGCCTAGGTAAAGCTGTCAAATGTCTAGGCAAAGCCGCTAGATGCCCAGGTAAAGCCGCCAGATGCCCAGATAAAACCGTCAAATGCCCAAGCCAGGCCAGGTTTTTTTTCTGGAAAGCCGCTTTCCCACAGTCCGGTCAGGCCATCCATTAAAAGGTGGTGGGTCAGTCCGGCCGTACCCAAAGCCGGACGGACTGGCCGCTTGGGATCACTGGGAGGACCCGCATTTAGACCCTTTGCACCCTATATTCGAGTCTGTACCGGGTACTGAAGTATAAATTACTTCCCCTGGGTATCTGCGTCCCCGACATAATCCCCAACCGACATAGTCCCCGCCGCGAGTCTAAGTGGGGGAGTGCCTCCGTGCTTCGTCCTCCACCACTCTCTCCATCAACAACACCACAAGAACACAAACGGTGCACGTGTCAAGGTTGCGACTGGACGTCACAACTCCTGAATCCTCGCTTGCTTGCAAACGTGAGCACTGATAGTTCACTGAGCACCTGAAAAGCCCAATGTAACATGGCAGTCCAATGTCACTTTGTGGCTCTATTCCACTTTGTGGCTCGGTGTAGGAAATCCTACACCTCCTCATGATGACATTTGGAGACTTCTGCAGGCGAGGGAACGTCCGGGAAGTCAGGAATAGGGAGATTTAGCAGGTAATGAAAGTTGAGCGGCTCCCTAACCCCAGCCAAACTATGCTCTAGCAATGGAACCCTTTTAACTCGCCATTGACAGCAGTTACGAGCCAGATAAGGAAGTCTGCTAACCCCAATTAGTTTCCTAGCAAAACATTTAACCACCATTTCTTCTCTCACAACTTTCTCAAACCTTAATATTATTTCTCCGCGCACTTTCCTATAATGATAACATAAAGCAGGTTACCTTTATCCTCAACCATAATGTGAATAAAGCTAAACTAATCCATAACCAGCGTATTGGTGTTCTAGAGGGCATCTACAAGCACGTCATGGGCAAAGGACAAACTGACCTACTAAGTGGGATTCAGGAGTTGAGTGTAGAGATTAAAGAAACCAGAAAAGAGATGAATCACAAAACGGAGGTAGCTAGGAAAGAGCAGAAGAACGAAATAAAGCGAGCTAGGATGGAGGCAAAAAAATACGGCTCCTGTTCGTAATGGGCGCCGTTGTTTTCTCAGCATGCCACAGAGAAATCCTTTCCTCAACCTCTTTGTATTAAAATTTTTATAGTTCTGCGCCAAGATTTTCTACCACGACACAAAGAAAAAAAGGAGATAGGGAGAAGGGGTTTGGAAGGTTACTTTCGATGATTTAGAAGCAAGACAGGGGAGAGATGAAGGAGATCCTTGGCGGGATGAAAGAGATAGGTTAGGGGGGATCTGAAGAGTCAGGGGACCCTACGCCCCACAAGGGGCTGGTTTCGATCCACAGGCTTAGTGTCTCGTCGCATGGGTTGACTGGACAAAAAAAACAGTAATCGTAATTTCAGGTCTCCTATCAAAAAACTCATTCATGGCACTCCTATAATGTATTATGGAATTGACAGCAAGCGGTATGATACTCGAATTTACCCCCTCGTATCGTACACCGCCTCATCCTCACACAGCCCACCTTCGCCTGGCCTGCCCTCTGTGGAAGGGTGATTCCCCTCCAACCAGAATGGACTCCCCAACCTAGTGGATGTAACCAGTACGGGTACTTGTTTAAGGATTTTGTTTTATGTTTTAAGCATCGCTGTGATACTTGGTTTGTTTTAAGCATCATTTGATACTTAGTTTTGTTTTGTGTTTTATTTGAAGTATTGTTTTGATACTTAAGTTGTTTTATCAAAGTGTATCGCTTGATACCTGTAACAGGGAAGATTGGTGCTGGGTTGGAATGCAGATAGTCCAAAGTACACCACAGGAG